CACGAGGTACTTGGTACCAAGTTTGTTGAGCGTAGTGGGTTGCCTGTGACGAGCCTTAAGACCGCCGGTGATGTATACGGCTTCGATGGTGCGCCTCGTACCGTTGCTCACGATACCTCCCTTTACATTGACGACGACGAATCCAAAACTCGATTCCTCGTCACGAAAATCAAGGATTCGTACGACGCTATCCTTGGCATGCCTTGGCTGCGAGAGAATGGTCACCGAATAGATTGGAAGACTGGAACATTACGACCAAAGACAGAATTTACTCAGATCGCCGCATTAGATCACCCACCTGAAAAGGACATCAAGACTGACAAATGGAAGAATTTACCTCGACACCTTGCTGCCATCGACCTGGCATCGTCCAACCCGAAAACCACCCCGGATCGCTCGATAGCTCGGAAGGGGAAAGCTAGGGACAGTGACGAGGGGATTGTTAGTTTTACTAGCGCTAAACCCCCGCAAGGTGAGTTCGATACAACCATGAGACATACCTTAATTGCCACAGATGACGACCAAGTACATTTTCGACAACAGTTATCAAAACAAACCGAACCACTGGGGACACAGGACCATCTTGCTGCCACTGCATTGGCATCGTCTGACTCGAAAACCACCCCGGATAGCCTGGATGCTCGGATGGGGAACGCTAGAGATCTTGACGAGGGGGTTGTTAGCTACGCTGACGCTAAACCCCCGCAAGGTGAGTTCAATACAGCATTAGAACCCACCCTCAGTGTCACAGATGACGACCAGGTACATTTTCGACCACAGATCCCACCGTACGAGATGCCAACACCCAGAACCGAAGAAGCCACGATCGCCACTGACTTGCAGATTGCACATGCAGTGTCGCCGGTGCCGAAAACCACCCCGAATGCCGTACGTATGCAGATGGGGAATACTAGGACACTTGGCGAGGGGGCTCTCACTTTGAATGAGACAAAGCCCCCGCGATGTGAGTACCACAACATTGAGACTACATCCCTCGAGGCAGTTGACAAGCTGGTTGTACCGGGATCACGTATAGGGAAAATTGCCTCCGCGAGCGCGACCTGGAACGTCTCAGCCAAGTTAGCAGCTGATGCGACGAAGGACAAAGAGGAGAAGCCAGTAGAGGAACTCGTACCAACCCGATACCACCGCTTCATCAATATGTTCCAAAAGACGAACGCTATGACACTCCCACCACACCAACGCTATGACTTCCGTGTCGACCTAATCCCTGGCGCCACACCTCAAGCTAGTAAAATTATACCGTTATCCCCTGCTGAAGAAGTCGCTCTTGACACCATGATCGACGAGGGGTTGAGTAAAGGCACAATTCGGAGGACAACATCCCCATGGGCAGCCCCAGTCCTGTTTACCGGAAAAAAAGACGGTAACTTAAGACCGTGCTTCGATTATAGGAAACTTAACGCACTTACCGTCAAAAACCGATATCCACTACCCCTAACAATGGAACTAATCGACAGCTTGAGGGACGCGGAAGACTATTCGTGCCTGGATATGCGAAACGGCTATAATAACCTGCACGTTAAAGAAGGTGACGAGAAAAAACTAGCGTTCATTTGCAAAAGGGGTCAGTTTGAACCTTTAGTCATGCCCTTCGGACCAACGGGGGCCCTAGGACATTTCCAATTCTTTATCTCTGACATACTTAGGGAAAAGATCGGGAAGGAACTAGCTGCTTACCTTGACGATCTACTGATCTACACACGAGCGGGGGTGGACCATGAGAAGGTGGTTGAGGAAGTCCTTGAGATACTACGATCGCACAACATCTGGCTCAAACCTGAAAAATGTAAATTTTCCAGGAAAGAGATTGACTACCTAGGATTGCTGATATCAAAAAACAAAGTCCGAATGGGTCCGTTGAAAGTCTCAGCCGTTACCGATTGGCCTGTCCCTACAAATGTAACACACATCCAACGGTTTCTAGGATTCTCGAACTTTTACCAAAGATTCATTGAAGATTTCTCTAAGATTACCCGACCATTGCATGACTTAACTCGTGATAAAACGCCTTTTGTATGGGGGGAAGCCCAAGACAAAGCCTTCCAGACCCTCAAGACCTCATTCACCACGGCTCCAATTTTGAAAATCGCAAATCCATATGAGCCGTTTATCTTGGAGTGCGATTGTTCCGATTATGCGTTGGGCGCTATCTTGTCTCAGAATGATGATGAGGGAGTACTTCATCCCGTCGCCTTCCTGTCTCAATCGCTGGTGCAAGCTGAAAGAAATTACGAAATATTTGATAAGGAACTGTTAGCGGTAGTGGCATCTTTTAAGGAATGGAGGCACTATTTGGAGGGAAATCCAAATAGGCTCGAAGTCACGGTCTACACGGACCATAAAAACCTCGAAAGCTTCATGACGACGAAACAACTAACTAGACGACAAGCCAGATGGGCCGAAACCCTTGGCTGTTTCGATTTTCACATTTGCTTTAGACCTGGAAGTGAGTCAACAAAACCTGACGCTTTGTCGAGAAGACCGGACCTTGAACCATTGGCGAAGGACAAACTCTCCTTCGGAAGTCTATTGAAACCAGCAAACCTATCAGAAAAAACATTCAATGCGGAACTTGATTGTATTGAGGCTTGGTTCGAAGATGAAGATGTGATCCATGAGGATGTCGAAAGCTGGTTTGAACAAGATGTAGTAGAACCGACATTTAGTGAAACTCTGGAGATAGATGCAATTGAACGGGCAACAGACTCACCGATTTGGACTGACAACCTAATAATTGACCGCATCAGAGAGCAATCCAAACTTGACCCAAGGATTGAGGAGCTGATGAAATCAACACTGGCATCCAAAGAAAGTATCAAGACGCCAAACGAGTACAAAGTTCATAACGAAATCCTATACAAAGACGGCCGAATCGAAGTACCAAATGATAAAACTTGTAAATTTGAGATACTGAGAAGTAGACACAGCAGCGCATTAGCAGGCCACCCAGGAAGGATGAAGACACTAAATCTGGTTCAACGGCAGTACCGATGGCCATCGATGAAAGCTTACATTAACAAATTTGTCGACGGCTGTGATTCCTGCCTGAGGGTGAAGTCATCGAACAAATTACCGTTTAGATCATTGGAACCATTACCAATACCGGCAAGACCCTGGACGGACATTAGTTATGATCTGATTACCGATCTGCCAAGGTCGAATGGAAAAAACTGCATACTCACCGTGGTAGACCAACTTACGAAGATGGGACACTTCGTGCCTTGCACAACCAAAATGACATCAGATGACTTGGCCTCCCTAATGATAAAGCATATATGGAGATTGCACGGATTACCTAAGACCATTCTTTCGGATCGTGGGAGTATTTTTGTATCAAAAATCACTGATTCCCTGAGTAAACAATTAGGTATAGCCCTACACCCGTTGACGGCCTACCACCCACAAACAGATGGGCAGTCCGAAATTGTCAATAAAGCTGTTGAACAATACCTACGTCATTTCACTTCTTATCAGCAGGATGATTGGGAGGAGCACTTACTGTTAGCTGAGTTTGCATATAACAACAGCACACACATGTCCACGGGGGTATCACCCTTTAAAGCCAACTTGGGGTACGACCTAACTTTTGGGAGGATCCCATTGGCCGACAGATGCATCCCGACAGTGGAAGAGCGCCTACAAAAGATCACCGAAATACAGAATGAACTCAAGGAAGCGTTAATTCAGGCTCAAGATACAATGAAACGAAACTATGATGCTCACGTTCGCCCAACGCCAGATTGGAATGAAGGTGACGAAGTATGGTTGAACAGTCGTAACATATCCACGACAAGACCAAGTGCAAAACTGGACCATTGATGGTTAGGACCCTTCAGCATAGTGAAGAAAATATCAAAGTCAGCCTATCAACTAGCATTGCCAATCAGTATGAGTAAAGTACACCCCGTATTTCATGTCTCAGTCTTAAAGAAACACTCACCGGACTTGATCGAGGAAAGATTCCAGGAGTTACCACCACCAATAGAGATCGACGGCGAAACCGAATGGGAAGTCGCAGAAATACTGGATAAACGACGTCGAAGGATGAAGGACAAGTACCTGGTGTCTTGTAAAGGATTCGATAGAACTGAGGATTTGTGGGAGCCGGCTGAGAACTTGATGAATGCAAAAGAGATGATCGACGGGTTCAATTTAAGGTTTCCGAAAGCATCAGAAGAACATCAAAGATCAAAGAGGATGCGGGGGTAAGGGAGAGGGACCGACGCTTTTTCCCGCCGGGTTTTTTAATGCCAGGTCCCGGGGAGAGACGCCCAGCCGCCAAGAGGGAGCCGGGGCGTAAAGGGGGGGATAGTGTTATGATCCCTAACTCAGGATCACAGGGATGTCACAGAATCGTGACATGTAGAGAGTCTGAGCCGCACTTGTACCAAACCACATATCATCCAGACTTCTCTCCTCATGCTACAATAATCATATCACGTAGTGGTCACCAATAGTCTCTCTCCCTCTCTGCCCTCTTACGTTGACCCAGAGGCCGGTCATAACAGTGTCTTAAAAACTGGTGTTTGGCAATGGTCAAATGGATGAGAGGAGGACAATGAGCGGGCTAAAAACCAAATGAGGCATGTGTAAACCCATGCTGGAAAGCCCCGATAGAGCTCAAAAAGAACTTTTTTTGTGACTACCCTTTGTAGGGGAGCGGCGGAGAATCCGGGGAATCTGGCTGGGAACGTGAGAATTGAGAATTTGGGAATACATACCCCCGGTATCAGCATATGTACAAGCATATGTAGCTAACATGCCATAAAACCCAAAACCCCAAACTATAAGTCAGAAACACCTACAGGTCACACCGGTTGAGATGTCACCGGCTCAGCATTTACTTTGTCGCCTCCGTGTTTCATCAAAAATTTTCACGCCCGCCGGTTTTCAATCATCACCCTTCAGAAAAAGACAATGAATATGTCCACCTTCACATTGGACACAAGTCGCGGTATCACATCCTGCCACCTAACATGGTGTGCCCCACGCTCATTCACGAATACTACGAGAAGGCGCACCCCAACATTCCAACACTACCCCAACCTGCCCGCCGAGGACCCACCGGCCTCCTATGTCCTGTGTGCTCCACCCAGATGATTTACCACACGGCCAATTACAACTCTTGGCTTATTGGGGTGAGTTGTACCAGTTGCTCCTGCGTTTTTCCCATCGACTCACTCTGGATGTCTCCACACAGTGTCCCACGGCCAAAAACGCTCACAACTGGAAGACCTGGCGGTGTGACCAGCTCAACCACGAGTTGGCTCTCATCAACCTCGGCACCCCAAGACCGATTATCTCGGTCAAAAGCGACTGGGGTCCACGCGTCTCACCAAACGGGCAGATCCTCGATGACGCTCCCGTGCTTCAACAAAAACACACCCGCTTTCAACCTTACACCAAGAAGGACTCTCATGGACGCACATCCCCGGCCAAAACAGGCTTGCTCTGCAAACGGATATATGAAGGCAAAGTGTCGCAGAACCACAAAAAGGCAGAAAACAAGGAGTACCCCCACCAATACTGTCTCGGTGTGGGTGATCAGCCTTTATTTGTTTTGGTTTAACTGTCAATGACATGTTTGTATCTTTGATCAGTGTTGCACAGCATACGGGACCATGGTTTGTTCAAAACACTCTCGAACCTCCAAAGTGGCGCCAACTCAACCAAAAAACCAGCCGATCACTCAACAAACACTCCGGCATCTGGGAATCACTGCTCAACAATTTACCCAGTTGAGCAAAATCCAAGGAAGTTCAGCGAGTACATCTCAAACTGCCACCAGTTCAGCGCCACGTCGATCTGCTCCAGCTCCAGCTTCCGCCGCCAACCCTCACCAGTGGGCTCAGTTCGCGAATACACTGGGACAGCAGATGCCAATCGAATCCATGGTCATGCTCCAGAAGAATCGTGCTGACAGAGCAGCAGCAGCAAACCACGAAAAAGAAACACTCATCGACACTGCCAAAATGGCTACAATCTCGTTATGGGTCAATGTGAGTTAGGTATTAGGTCATTCAGATTTCACCCCGTGCCTGGCTGATCCAATCTCAATCACAGTCAGCTGCCTCCAAGCCGATTGCCGCGTATTTCCCTCAGTGGCCGGTAGTCTACCTTAACCAGAGCGAGCTTCTCCTTCAGGCCGTCACCACAGCCGTTGGACCCGATTGGGACAGAGCTCTTACAGTGTGGGATCACACTTTGAAATCCTGGGTATGTGGTTCACGATTTTGATGTGGTAAAACTCCTAATCCATGCTGATCTCAGTAATTTCACACTTTCGTTTCGTTTCATTTTAGATGGACACCATGGTCCATTACCCACACCAGTTACCAGACGGCCAACGGTCCATCATTGTTTGACTTCCGCATGTGGATGTACCTCATCATGCTCTGCCAACATCCGGCAAGCTCTTAACCAGCGGAACACCTGGTCATCTAGCTATGCCAACCTCGGCGTTTTTATCAAAAAACGATCTTCCCGCCATTTGTGAAAATCAATCTTCGTCACAACCAAACTTATCAGCCTCGCTTTTACAATCACAAGAACCACAGTCATTACACCCAAACATTTCCAACAGCAGCGTCCGTGGTCTTTCATTCCAACAGACCATCACTTCCTTGATTGCAGGTGCAGCCACCCCACCCACTCGAATCGAAGTGGACTTAACTTTATCCCCGGAAGCAAAAAATCTCCAGGATGACGCTAGTACCGAGGCCCAACCAAAGGCAAAAGCTACCGAGTATGTTCCAGCCCTGAGTTACTACTTTATGTAGCTGACATACGTTTCAATGCTCTAGCACCTCAGCTTCTGCAAAACGAAAAAAAGGCTGGCCTGGTAAGACTGAACTCCTTTCAAGCCTGCTTTCCTGGTATTACAACACTATGGATGGAGACCCAAGGGAGACATGGGTGGTACATTTCGGGGATCAATGGGTACTCACTAAGACTATGTATCGATATCGTGCCTGGGTCGAATTAGTTGGGCCTGACAACATGAAACTCAAGTATGATACTCAGCCTACAGCCACCGTCGCTCAAGCTCGTGATTTCTGGTCACACGAGTTCAAGAAAGTTTCTGGCCATGGCCAGGGCGCTGCTGACGACGAGTAAAAGTGACAAGCAAAAAAAGTCAGACGTTGGACCCTCCACCCTTTCACAATTAAACCACCACTCCTTCCAATTGACTTAGTAATAATATAAGTGTTTGAAAATGTGTATCTTCTATATGTATGAGTTTCTTTTTGTACCCATTCGATTCGTGCATTATATACCTTAGCAACTGTTTTTCTCTTCAATCCGTTCTTCTTGCAATCCTACCTAATCCAACCTTAAGGGGTCTAGTCTAATTTGAACTTCACGAGCCGTTTGCCAGACAACACAATGACTTCTCTTGACCCTTCATCAAGGGTTTCGAAGACGGTTTCTTGTGGGAGAGATTTATTCCCTCACTGATAGTTCGGACCCTTTGAATTTTTGAGTATGAGTTTGGGCCTGCGTTGAATGTCTTAAATAAAGGGCACCTATCTGACTCACTCAATCCGCAAAACAAAAACACCACCTAAACATCGTATATCCTATAACCCAAACAACCATACATCAACCATGCCTAATTCTGTGTTGATGTCTGCCATTTTACCTACCACTGCCGAAGTAAGATTGTGTTATTCTGCGGCTATGTACAAACCATCTTTGGCTAATCCTGCTTGCCCCTCCATCCTTCTTTCTCCTATCCTATCCTATCCTATCCAATAACCTCGTTTTTAGGCAAGGAACATAGTCCAAATACCCAAGTTTGTTGATTGGCGCCTCACTGCGGCCGACCTTGTTTTGCGAGATGCGTTAGGAGAGCCTTTGAATGAGCCACTTAAAGCATACGGTTACTCCATGGACAACAAGAAGCTTGAACTGGGGCGTATCTATCACTTGTTTGGCCCCTTTGGCCAACATCCAATCTCCGGCGAAGCTATGATACGACATGATCAGACGGCTCAAAGCGACCTTGGTGCCCACACCATCAACCGGCAAGAAATTGCTGGTAACGCGTACATTACTTCGAAAGGCAAGGTGATGGATGCCGAGTATGATAATGTACACAATTCAAATGGATCGTGGAATCTCACTGTCGTAGCTGAACACGAGTTTGTTGTTCCTGAGGTCAGTACTACTCCATATGCACCTCAGATATTTTCACTGACTTGATTTCCAGCCTACCGAGGCCTTTGATTTTGAGGTTATCTATTGGTTTGGGTATTATACCCCTCACGGCTCCCAGTGGAAGCGTATCAAAAGTAATGCAATAATGTCTTTCAGTGGCAAATTGGTGGGCAAAGACCCTGCGTCAGGTCGTTTCATTGTTGATGTAAGGATTTTTTTTTCCTGCCTCAATGTATGATTTTGCAATAATTTTGCAAATAAACTGACATTCTTTCTTCCCAGGTCATTGATTACGCTTTCATCGAAGTGTAATATAATTCAAAGTGAAATGGGTTGTTCCATCCCATTAACATCGGTGTTGGCGCTTAACCCCCCAGAACCTCCCCTCACCCACCCTAGTCTTTCGTTGAATTCACCCTTGAGTTCATCATTTGTATTGTGACCATTACTGGGCTGTTTGTCCCCCGTCCGTTAACAGCAGTGACATTCATTTGAAATTGAAATCATTACAATTTCCGAACTCAAAACTTGTGTAAGGTACCTTCACTTTTAAATCAAAGTGAAAGTGCATCCATCATATGTCTATCATCTGGTCATAGTTCACCACATTAGTTTGAGGCCAAAATCAAGTGCTTTATGCATGAATTACGCTTTTAAGGTGCATTACTAGGTGACACATGTAAGATGACGGACATCACTACATGTAAAGTATAATTTCAGGTAGTTATACTTGGTTAAAGTTGGTCACTTCCAGAACAGAATATAGATCGAAGAAATAAGTCAATCTCATGGTTTGGAGGAAACATTAATAAAACCAATTGTCTTCACTTCAGGATCCCTATACCAAGATACTCCATGCCCTTTCTTTTGTCTAATTTTTTAGTCAGCCATCCATTTCGAAGGTCAACCATTTCTTCCAAAAAAAAATTGTATACTAGCGAGTGCATACCACGACACATAGAGGCAAAACCCCCGTACCAAATGTTAGTCAGCTCACCAACAGAAGCATTGAAGAACCAACGGGAGCCCTCTTGGATATCAGGGAAAAGCTTGGGATCAGTAAATCGCTTGCAGAATTTGTTGGTCTCTGCATGTGACCGATGGTGTAACGGATCTACCAGAATGACTGTTCCTAGGAATGCTGAGCGATCGGTGTCTCCGGCATAGATATGTTCCGTTAACCTACATGCATTATCGTAAAAGACCACCTCTGGCATACCACGAGGGAAAGTCTCTTCAAGGAAGGCCTGTAGGTATAGCCCCAGAGCAAGACAACATCAACCATTGTTGTCTTCCCCTCACCATGGGTGGAACCACACTCACCTTGACCGCACTGACAGACTCAGCGTTGTAAAACGTTTTCCTTCCCAATACAATCCCACAAGTCCCGACCACAAGTTGGTCATTGTGCGTCCGCATTCTTGATAACAAGTATTTCCCAGAAGACTTTGACTCGCCTCCATCCCTTGCAGCTTTGTGTGCCCTTTGCGATTCGTCAGCCTGTTGTAGACCCGCCAGGTCTTGAAATTCGGCGGTATCGGCATCTAGATGGACGGTTGGATCAGCTCGAAGTGAGGATCCTGGTCGGTTGAGGATGGAGGTTAAAGAAAAGTTTGATTTAATTTTTTCGTTGAAGTTGGCCCATGCATCGATGTGATCCTTGTCATTGCAGGTCCCAGTATTGCCAATCGCGGCATTAGGACAAGGTTGCGCTTGACATTTCCCTCCGAGGAGAACAAAGTGTTCCGGACAGAAACGATTGTTGATATTGTCAAGATCATTCGTACAAGGTCCTTCTGGCGCAGGGTGACCCAAGGATTTTGCAATCTCCTGCAGTTGCTGAGAGGAGGCACTACAACGGTAGTGTCCTATGGTTAGACCGTCCGTTACGACTGCACGGATCGCTGGAAAATGGCCATGTGCAAAGGAAGGATTTGATCATTGATCAATAAAAGATCTGAGAAAGAAGTAGATACACATGGAGGGATGACTTACATCTATAATTGATTTCTCCGGTCTCAGGATCGACTTGGGTTATTATTCGGACACAGCTGCTACAGTAATGATCACGATATGTGGTTCCTTCCACTGATAATCGCTCTAGATGATCTTTGATTGCAGAATCAAACCACATTGAGTTGTTCCCACTTGACACAACCGCCAGGTGAGTTCCTCGTCGATCGGCGTGTTTCATCAAGGAATGAATGATGAGGCCGTCGCGGCACACTTCATCTGACATGTAAGGGGTGAATTTCTGGTTGGGTACGAATTGTGCTACAGCTGCGTCTTCTACAAATAACTGGTTATACCAGTTGACCAGATTGAAATGAGATACACTGGAGATAGAGACAATTGTTGGTGAGTAAGTGACGCTGCTGCGTTGTGAAGTAATGATCAAATGAGAACTTACTGTGCTAACATTTGAATCACTCAGAACATGTAAGCCAAACGAGCAGTCATATAATAATGGCAGTGGATGTGGAGATAATCGGTTTCGCGTCCCATGGCCTGTGAGTCGTAGATCCGGAAACCATGGCTGGTGTAATAGCTGGGCCTATAGGAAATTCCACACGTGTCGTCTGATATAATCCGATGTCAGTTGAATGTGGAAGTCACTCAAGACTTTAAAGGTAAAGTACGTACTGGAGCAACACAGGATGACAGTCTGTACAGCGTGCGTACCGTCAGTGTCATAGAGGTAACCATTGATACGTGAATGAACGTGTAAGGTGGATTGTTCCGGGCAAGAGATACATTTAGTGAAAGGTGCACGTAAGAACCTTTCCAGCAGTTTCGAGGTCGACGTAAGAGTTGGTTGCAGACCAAATTCTCGAATAGCAGCTGAGGTATCAATATCACATCCGGGTAAGTGGGGAAATGCTAGCCGCCATAAGTCGGCCATTAAGTCTTTGGGGTATTCAAGTGATAGAGCTGAGGCAAGAAAGGGAATGACCGTGGTTCGAGTCGATTTGAGTCGTAGGGAATCACCAGCAACTTGTTGGACTTTGGCGGCAAGGACAGTAAATCGTATAAACTCCGTGACACTCAGGGTCAGTGCGAGCTGAGGAGATTCGCCTATGAGCTGGTTGACAAAATCACGTAAGAGCATTGCTGGGTTGGGGTTGGTTGGAGGAAGTGTGTTTGAGGGGTGTGGAGTGTGGTACTGACTGACGTGGCCAATGTTTGGTGGTTTGGTGTGAGGTCGATCGAACGTAACCTGAGGCATACCTGATGTCAATTGCTTGAAAGGTGTGGACCGCGTGCAAGCCGGGCTGGTTTTAACACTTGACTTAAAGGCCAAAAGGTTTTTGACTTTGCCTCTGAGTCCCAGGCCTAAGAGCATCCGCACTCGTTTGCGGTTGTTAACTTGGTCTCTTGCGGTAGCAACCGCTACATTAAGTAAAAAAATAGTTACCTCGACCAATTTTCACACTCGTGTCGAGGTAATGGCAGAGTAGTTAACTATCTTCGAGGGATAATTTGAGTTTCCACACTGGTTGATAGTAATCAAAGTTTACTAACTCAAAATATCCACCATCCACGCATTTGCACAATCCCCCACCAAATCCACACAGCTTTTTTTGATAAATCACGATGGTAAAGAGCACGTCCTTCTCAAGATACCTCAAGAGAGCACAAGAGTTTATTCAAGAGGACCTAGATGATATGGATGAAGACCTCAGCTTAGAAGATAACTGTGATGAACGCCCAAAGAAAAAGAAAATTATGGTATACAGGGATCGAGAAGAAGCCTATGCACAACTTCACAGAGACTACCTCGCCGAAAACCCAAGATACAATGAAGAGACCTTCCAACGTCGATTTCGAATGCCCAGTGATATGTTCAAAGACATCTGCGCCCGGCTAGTAAAGCATGATAAGTACTGGGAACAAAGACCTGTGAGCTTGATTGAGTTGCTTTGTTTTTTTCACTCTCATTCATTCTTTCTTCAAATAGGATTGTACAGGACGATATGGTCTATCAACTGAGCAGAAGGTCACTGCCGCTCTCCGTCAGCTTGCGTATGGAGTACCTCCGGACGCAACAGACGAGTATCTAAAGATAGCTGAAAGTACATCTCTCAAAGCGCTGAAGAAATTTTGCTCAGCAATCATTGATATCTACGGTCCGGAATTTCTAAGACCCCCAAACGAGGAAGAGTTAGTGACTATTACGAAAGAATATGAAGAACGGGGATTTCCTGGTTGTAAGGGATCCATCGATGGAATGCATTGGGCATGGGAAAACTGTCCCAGTGCTTGGCAAGGACGGTATCAAGGCAAGGAGAAATCACCGAGTATAGTACTAGAAGCGGTTGCTTCAAAAAGTTGCAGAATTTGGCACGCTTTTTTTGGATCACCTGGATCTCTCAATGATATCAATATCTTGAATTCAAGCCCTTTGTTTTCAAGATTTCTCTCGGGTGTGTTCATATTCATTCTTTTGATCAAAATGGTTAGGATTATATTTACAATTTGGTTCATGTATCTGCACAGGAACGGAAGACAATCTTCACTTTGAAATCAATGGAAATAGATACACACGAGGATATTATCTAGCTGATGGTATCTACCCCTCATGGCCGGTTTTAGTCAAATCAATTCGACATCCGGGTGATCCTGCAACATCTTTCTTTGCCGAAAGGCAAGAATCCGCAAGAAAAGACATTGAACGCACATTTGGAATTCTTCAGGCTCGTTGGGCAATAATAAAGCAACCCGGTCGGCTTTGGAAGATATGTGATCTCAGGCAGATCATGTATTGCTGCATCATACTACACAATATGGTTGTCGAGGAAAGATTAGAAAAAGACCCAATTATTACGGACTACGACAGTCAAGTACAAGTAGTTCCCAATGTTAGAGACCCTTGTCTCGCACCATCACTTACCACTTACATCAGTGCGTCTCAAGAGCTTCAGGATAGTGAAGTCCATTTAAGATTAACTCGAGATCTCATCACAGCTGGATGGTTGGCACACGGGGGTTTGTAGACAAGCAAGGAAAAATTGATTTCTTCAATTCTAACAAAGGAAATTTTTAAATACAATTCTAGATATCAATAACAAATGTAGATAATCATTCTAGATATTGAAAACAAATGTAGATAATCAACCCCTTTTGCAAAGTTCCCCTTTATCAATGATTTAGTTGAATTGAATTTTGATCGTTCTAAAATAGATCCAAACATATCTTTAAATTACATTTCACAATTCAAACGACAAGAAATCAATCTAGATCAATAAAAGCAATCAATCCTTCTAAAAGCAATCGGTCCTTCTAAAAGCCATCAATCCATCTAAAAGCAATTGATCCATCTAAAAGCAATTGATCCATCTGAAAGCAATCGATCCATCTAAAAGCAATCGATCCATCTAAAAGCCATCCACAGGATGGCTTTTCATCTCGATCAATCTAAAGTTATCTTCAAAATCTATATAACTAGATGTAAAGTAGACTAATATCAATCAACATTGGCTGAAGGGAATAAGATAGTCAGAAACTTAACATACTCATGATTTCAATGAATTAAAAGACAGCTACACATGACTAGAAGAGCCATCTGCTTCCCCATCTTCATACTTGAGAAGGATTTGAGCCTTCATCTTCTTCAAAAATTTTTTAGACACCTCGTTCATTTTGGATTCATCTTGATTCAAAATCTCCATCTCTTTTGACATGATCTCGGTGGTCTGCATCTCTTTGGCCAATCGATTAGCTTCTTCCATGGCAGAGACTCTTCTTTCTTGAAGGGATTTGACTTCTGCCTTGGCTTCAGCTAAAGCCTCATTGTCTTCTTCGCGTGCACGCTTAGCCTCGCTCAGTCGGTTACGCTTGCAGCTCTTCTTTCCCAGAGGACGAGTCGGGCTAGAGGCACGAGTAGCGGTGTGTTTGTAATCGTCTGCTGAACTGGAATTAGAGAATGGAGGGACTGGGCACCACTTGGGTTCGTGTCGTAGAACTTCCCATGCGAGCTCGCTCCTGAATTCACGTTTCTTCTTGTCTTCAGCTTTGTATAACGCCTTTGCATCTCATATCATGTCGATGAGATTGCTCCCACTCCGGGGAGACTGCTTGATTCTAGCGTAACAACCCGAGAATTTCAAAGTTGAAGTTCGGAGGGCATTCCAACTTTGTGAAACAAAAAGACTTAAAAACATATCAATCAAAGACGAGTTAAGATTTAACTTACCCATTTTGAACTTGGGCTATTGAACGCCCAGGAGGATCAGTGCCGGGAGGATCAGTGTGCAGGTTGAAGTGTTTGGTGATCTTTTCAAAGAACACCTCGGAAGATTGGCCGGTTCCGATTTCGGCTTGAGACGAGATATGAAGGTAAGATTTCGCAAGCTGCTCCTCGTCTTTCGCTGTCCAGTTTGCACCACGCGTGCGAGTTTTTGATTCTTCTGATTCTTGGGTTGCCATTGTATGAATCTCGAATCGGGTGTTGTGGGTTGAGAGGAAGCAAGTTGGAGTTGTGTTGAAGTTGAGTTGGGGAGTCTTGAAGTTAGTGACAGGGCTACCCTCGGATACCGCATGCGGTAGCCAATTGGTAAAGTTACCGATTGGCTAACGCAAATCGATCAAAAAATAACTACCGCGGGGCTAATTTCTCACCAGTGTGGGAGAGGCCCCGCATTTGCGGTAAAATTTACCTTACCGCACTCGACTTACCGCACGAGTGCGGATGCTCTAAGCACAGTTGTAAACCCATACCTCATGGGCCTAGGCAGGATTCCCAGATTCCCAGAGCGAATTCAGCGGTTCCCCGGATCCTCCGGCCTACCGCTTTGTAGGGGCATTCCGGGGTCCTGTATATACAGCTTACTCCAGTCCACAGGGCAAACATGGAGCCGGTACCAACCATTCTGAGGCCGGGTCAGACCATTCTTCAAAAGCCTCCTGTGGTGTATTCCTTGAGTATTTTTGACTGCATGATCATTGGTCAGACATGTTCTATTTCCTTCAGGTTTGTTTGTTTTTAACGTCTTAAAACGATGTTGTTTATCGGGCCTTCTTCTGGAAAGCATTTCCCATTGAGTGAAACCCCATATCCAGACTTCTGTGAGCTTCTGGGAGAGCTTGTAACATGGATAGAACATCGAGTCACAGAGTGAGAGCGGAGTATCTCCGAACTCATATGACGCATTCTTTTAAGTCAAGATTTGAGGATCACCCAAGTCCCAAGTCGGCACTGCAGGGAATCCAGCCAACAAAAAGCAGGTCCTTTTTACGTATGCATGACGACACCGAGCTTCTGATCGCATCACGTCTTACGCAATACATTGGTATTTTCCTCGGCCTGAGTAGCAAACTCGAACAAAAGATAATCTATTATACTTCGAGCTATTTTCCGCGCTTCTGGTGCATAAAGAATGTAACCGTTCGGCCCGTCCATCACAATTTTGTATACGACATCAGAGTGATTTTAATCAAATCTATCTTCATTTCGAGTATTAGGCGATGGAAGAATCGGTTATCTCCAACAAGACGAATTTGTTCGAGATGGAAAATGCAAGATTAGAACTTATACCCATCCCTACATTGTAAACGTTTTCATAGATCCGATCAGGTACTTTGTAGTATATAATTCTTAACGAATCATGTCCTTCATTCCTTACCAAATCTCCAGTAACATTTTTTATCTCCTTTGAGACTTTTGAATAAACGACGTAGAGCTACACCCCTAAAATCCGTCTATTCTCTGAATCTCAGTGCTTTATCTATTCTTGAGTCCAGCTTCAAGCCATATTTTAGAAAAATATGCCTGCTTTCTTCAATCGTCATTTCCTTCTGTTTGCCTTCATCACCCTGATCCTTTCAATGGGATCCCTTGATGGTAAACCAAAGAGATTTCACGAGGAACATGGACCTAAGCCTGTGCCTGTGGGAAACGGTGCTAAAACTTTACATGCTACGGGTCATTATCTTGGTAAAAAACCTAATGCTAATTGGATTTCAAAGAATGGAGGTGTGTACATAAATAAATATCATGGATCAGAAATTAATTCACGTTCAAATCTAATATATCTATATATTTCTAGTCGCCAAGCAATCTAATGGGATCCAAGCTTGAGAATGTGCATTCAACTTGAGAGTCACAGGACAAGTTTTTGCCTACTTCAAAATCGATCCTTCTAAAGCTACGTATCATGGGGCACCCTATGGTACATGTTATGCCACCAGAGTACGTAGAATCCCCAATCTCTTCGTTCCTACCCCAAACCCTTTTGTTGATCCGATGACTTTTTTTTATCAGTCTGCTCCGGATGTATCAGACTTGGAGGTGGATAAGGACTACGATGTATTCTATTGGAAGTAAGTCTTTTCAATATCAGTTCACTTCTCTTGAATCTCCAATCGCTAATCATAAATCCAAAAATTTTAAACTTCAATAGTTACTTGGGAGGTGAACCAGGTGTAGGAACTGGTCCGATCAGAAATCCACAAACTGGTAGAGCAGGATATGAGGATAGACACGGAGTTTATAGTGATGGTACAAATCCTGATACTAATCAAAACCTTTGATATAAGGATTTTCATTCTTTTCTTCATTCATTCAAGATTGAATTCGAATCAGAAGCGGATCTTCCAGGTGAAGGTCTGGCTACAAGATTTGTTGGCTAATCAAAACTTATTGAACTCCATAACACGATATCATTACTGTTACTCATTTGTTCAACCCGCATGCGGTGGTTTATTGTGAAGATGTTTTCTTTAATTCCTTTGAACTTTCTTGAAGTACAGCGTATGAAAGATATGAATTTTGAGTACATTTTTTATCTCATCGGAAGAATTGAGTCTTTCAATGGCATTATTTCAAGTTCCTCTGATTAATGCTTCATTGATGATTTATCACCATCATTGACCAACTCTGATATTATTGAGATAATATGTAACAACCGATAGTATCCTTAAGCTTGTCACTACAAAACACCAATTCCACTTGACTTTGGATCACTCCTAATTCAATTTTTTAAAATTGTGATTTGAGACCACTTTTGGGGTGATCTTGAACCCGCGCAGTTCTACCCCGAGGCGCGAAGTGGTGTACCGACACCCGACCCGAGTCCTGTATCCGCTCTTCGTGGGCCAGAATGAAACTTTTTTCAATCGAGTGAGTCAGACTGAAATTGCAATTGACCATTTACCAACTTCAACCACTCAACTCAACTCAACTCAACTCAACTCAACTCAACTCAACATGATCGATCCTCAATCAAATAACGATATGGACTTATTCCAAGTAGACACCCATGGATCTCAATCAATCAGACATACACTTTTACATGGTACAGCATCAGGTAGAGCACGTAAAGGAGTCAAACCATTAAAAGTAGATGAAATCTTAAATGAAGTTGCTAACAATCAAAACACGACAGCTTTAGTTTCAAGAGTTAGACAACAAATCACAGATCCAAAAAAATCAAAAAACTATAAAGTTAAACTTTTAAATCATCAAGAAAGAAAACGATTAGAAAAGATGGTGTTGAGAAAAAAATATCAATCTACTTTGATTGATGAAGGTCGAAGTAGTACTGCTGTGGCTATTAGACCACCACCTGCACCTGAAGATAATTTATGGTCAAAAGATTCGAGTTTAGAGATCCCAATTATACCTGTCAAAGCACCATCATATTTAAGAAAACATGAAATCTTGGATAAAGTCACGGAAACTTTAACCTTGAAATCAGAAGCACCAGGATTGATTTCGATCCCAGCACCACATCCAGGTCAAAGTTATAATCCAAGTTTTAAAGACCATCAACAAGTTTTAAACTTAGCAAATCAAAAATTAGAAATCGAAGAAAATGAAACTCGGAAATTAGAATCGGTTAAAGAAAACATGAAGAAATCTTTGGCTGAAGGTAGAACTAAAGAATCATGGGAGTTTTGTGAAGAAGATGTGGATAAGCTTATGGAAGATGATGAAAGTGAAATTGATGATTCTAAGAAAACAGATGACCAATTCGTTAAGAAAGTTAAAAAACAAAAGAAAAAAACTACCGCTCAACGTAATAGGAAAGCTAGAGCACTTGAAGAGGTAAATTTTGTTTTAAAACTTTCTTTGAAGTTTAATGAGATCTTGTCAGGATTTGTTTTTACTCTTACTTACCCGCTTTGTTCATTTCTTTCAGGCTCGTCTATTGGCTAAACGAAGACAAGCGAAAGTGATCTCTAAATCTTTACACGAATTACCCACAATAGTGAATTCGATCACTCAACAAAAAGCGAACTCATTAGAAACCAACCTAAACCAAAAATCCAAACGAGCTCAATTAATTTCAAAATACGGATTAAGAGCCGTCAGAGGAGGAGAACCCAAAGGATTAAACTTAATTTCAGATCAACATACTTATCAATTAACCGAAGATTTAACTGAGACTGGTTTACGTGGATTAAAGATTGAAGGAAATCTTTGGAAAGATTGGGAATTGAGTGGGATTAGAAGAGGGAAAGTTGAAGGAAAGAAATCGTTGGGTAAATCAAACGGGTTTGTTTCTAATGCTAGATCTACTAAAGGTAGAAAATTAAAAGAAGTTGAAAAACATGCTTGGAAGAATTTCGAAGCTTAGGAAAGCTTTTCTTTAATTTGGATTTGGGTGATTGAAGTGATGAAATTGATTTAGTTCAGGAGAATCTTTGGGGTTGGTGGATCGTGAAGTTGTCTTGTGTCGGGGTTTCTTTATTTTGATTTGAAGTAAATTAGATGCTCTTCATGTTTTAACTTGATATCTCTCCGATCAGTGTCTCTCATCTTCGATTATGGAAGTTGAGCCTTTTCTTTTACTCTTTTGTTACTCAAGATTTCAAAAAATGCGTCAAATTTTTAATGTAAGATATTCTCAAAAAAGTCCTTTAGAAAAAAAATCCATCGAATTTTGACGCAAAGAGATAAAAACGATTTAAAATAATCAATTGTTTACTAAACAATCGTTTAAAGAAAAAATATTTAATTGAAAACAAATACAAAAAAAACAAGAACAAGAACAAAAGAATTTCATATCTACATTTTTTGAGTTCCATTCTTTAAAAACATTTTATAAATCTAATAATTTTTTTTTACTTTTTGTTTCCTTTGGTTTACAACAAACATATATATAAACAAAAAGCAATCCAGTTGGTTTGGTAGACTATCATAAAAGTTTCAAAAACCTTAAGCTAGTTAAGTTAAACAAAAAAAAATCCAAAGAGAAAAGAAAATCAAAAGTTCCAAAGAGAGAGAGAGAAAAAAGAACGAGTTCGAAAAAAAAAAGTTCCAAAGAAAAGAAAAAAATCCAGTAAGAGGAACAATAAAAGTGAGGGGTATTTAATTCGTAAAGTTTCTTCTAACTCTTTTAACTTTACCTAATACTTCACTTGGTAAAGGAATTCCATGGATATCTTTTTTATGTCTTCTACATTCTGATACTCTTTTATAAGCTTTCTGACAACCTAATATATCACATTGAACTAATGAACAAAAGAAGCCAAACCAAATCAATGATTGATTGAAATTATGCTCCTCAATTGGAAGAAGATGACTTACTTTTCTTTTCAGTTGAATGAGTGTCTCTTAAATGAGCCAAAAGGTTACTCTGACGACTATGAGATTTATTACATTTAGGACAAATGAAACCTTTAGTGATCGGAGGTTTACCTAGGTTCAGATTATGATTAGGATGAGTTGAAAGGTGTAAGTTGGTTGAAGGATGAGGTGATAAGAATTGATTAAAGTCTAAGATGGGTTTTAACCCGAATTGAGAATCGAAATCTTCAAAACTCGGGGTGAAATGAGGGTTGAATTGAGCAGAAGAAGTTGATGAATTAGTTGATTGGATTGATGATGAAGTCGTAGGTCTTTGGTTTGGGATCGTTAAATAATTTGAAAAACTCGCATTGAGGGTGTCTTGTGTTAAATAATTAAATTCGGTAAAGGTTTGTTGTAAAGCTAATGATAGATTCTCATCTTCATTCTCAACTTGTTGTATACTTTCATTCTCAGTTTGATATTGGTTAAATTTGTTTTTTTTGATTTTTAAAGTTGGACTTTGATGAACTTGTTCAAGAGTTTCTTCAAATGATCTTTTATTAGAATTCCTTTCTTCTTCTTCTTGTAATACTTGATCATCATTTAAAGTTTTCAAGTATGATGAATTGTTCATCAAGTCTGATGGATTGAAGGATGATTGATCATACATCGATGGATTGTAATCAGTTTGAGTCGAATCTAATTGTTGGGCTTCGAAAACGAACTGATTCAAGTTTGCAAGGAATTCCTCATTAAGCTCGATTTGATGTTTGTTAGGTGTACTATATTGATTTTGATTGTTAGTGACTTTGATCTCGTTGAAGTTGATCTCATCATTAGAAACTGAAATAGTATTAGTTTCTGGTCGTGGTGATGATTGATAAGATTGATTAAATGAACTTAGATCATAATCTTCTTGAGACGTTAAGAATGAGGAAGGATTGGTATAACTCGGAATAGAATTTAAATCTAAATAATTATGAATAGATTGGTTTGATGAAGTTGGAAACATATTTAAAGAATTCATTGAAATCGTTGGAATTAAATGTGGTATAACTCTTTTCTTAAGACCTTTATATAATAACAAAATGATTATATATAAGAATTAAAGAAATGATTTTTAACAATGAAAAGAAAAGAAATATCAAACGATTGAAGATAGTGTTGAAATTATAAGTTCAAAGAAAGAAAGATTAATTAAAGAAGTAAGGCGATTTAAATTGTATTAAGGGAGAAGAGTTTATCGAATCAATCGAAAAAAAAAGTTATGAATTAGTTTCGTCAAGAAAGCAAAAAGAAAAAGAAAAATGATTATATTAGTTTAGTAAGTCTAACCAGTAGACGATCAGAATTAATTAAGAAAAGTGATAAGAGGATGAAGATTTTTGGGTAGAGAGAAGGAGGAAGAAGAGAAGGATTTATATAGAAAAGCACAGAGAGAGAGAGAGAGACAAACCATTGGGTATAGTATTAGAGTTAGGATTGGATTGATTCCAATTAGGTAAACCGATGATAGGATAATAATAACTAAGCTGTTGAGTCAAAGTATTGGTATTGGTGGGTTTGATAAAGAATGGATTTTGATTTGAAAGGGTACTATAAAGTTGATGATGATTCTTAGTAGCGGTAGATGGTAAATCATTTACCCTTTTTTGATTTAAGATACAATGAGAATCGTTAATTGGTGAAATGGTGGTGGTGGTTGGAGTTGAGGTTGAGAAATTCGAATTACTGAGCAAAATTAAAGGTGAGTTTGATAACAAAGGTCTTGATTTCGAATGATGATGATCAAAAACTTTTAAAGTCATGATCAATTGAAAGGGATTATTTGAAAGGGAAGAAGTTATCAAGAAAACACAGAGAAGGGGTATTGGAAAGGATAATCACAAAGAACCGATGGTTTATCTATAACTTGTTTCTATCCAAAGATACGAATCACAAACAAGTTTATCAGAAAGGAATCAAGTAATTTGTATATAATATATTTATAAGGTGAAGATCAATCAATCAAGAATTGATAAAAGAGAACCTTTGCTTTGGGAGATTGAAAGAGATAAGATAGATAGAAATCCCTGAATGGAATATAAGTGCGTTCTCCTTAAAGCTCATGATGAAGGGGGATCAACTAAAGTATTTAGGTTTTAGTTTTGTTGGTAATGAAAGTTTCTTTAGAAAAGGTGATGAAGAGACGATGAGTGAGGAAAGAGAGAAAAGTTTAAGAACTCTCTAGCTAAGAAAATCTTGTTAGTCCGAAAACTTTTTTGCAAAATCAACATCAGAACTAAAACTTGATGAGATTTAATTTTGTAGGTGAAGAACTCATTCAAAGCTGATTGAATCAATTCAATAACACGCGAAAGATTGAAACTCATGATTGGTTTCGGGATTGAGTTGATTATTAATTTGTCCGAATACAATTTGATGAGTTGGTTTTATAAACTTCAATTTGATGACAATTCTAGTTGTATATAGAAAAAGATCTCTGGAGACTTATTGGAAGAACTATATCAAAGGAATCATCCCTCAATCTTCACATATCATATATTACTTCGGGTCAATTCAGATCAATCTTCTATCTTTAATGTGTTGAAGATTGATTTTTAGTTTCTCTTTGGCAATCTCTCATTCGACAGAACTTCGAACTGGTCCTTTTACAACAAAAAAAAAGTTAAACTTGGTCACTTTTGATTTTTGTAAAACCTTCAAGCTTGGAACAGGCTGGACCTCCGGAGAGTTGTTTTCTTTTTTTGAGTTTCTGAGTTTTTTAATTTTTGTACAACTTCGATAAATCTCCGAATCTGATCATCAACTTAAACTTGAAAGAGTATGTATCTTTGATTTTCTTCCATACTTCAATTTGTTGATCACACTCGCAAAGTTCATTTTGTACTTAACAACTTCTTAGACTAAAGAACTCAAAACTATAGTTTCTTTTCTCGAATCACAAAATTATGTTGTACACGATTCTTTCGCTGTCGCAATCGATTATGTTCCTGTCTAAAAGCGGGGAATGCTGGACACAAGGTCACAAGAGGTTTTGGTACTGAAGGAAACTGTTGATCCGATTTTTTATGAAGATTATTAAACTCTCCATCAAATTCATCTGAGTGGAGTGTCTTTTAATGTGCTTTGTACGACGAACTGGAGTTTTATGTTTAAACGAAAAAAATTGATCAGGATCTTATATCAGTAACTCAGACTCAATCAGGAGTACTGGTGATGCATTTATGTGAGCATCGTTTGAGGAATTTCTAAATCGAAAGTGTCATAAGTTCAGAAGCGATACTTGAAGTACATATACCATGTCTCTATCGTTGTAGTTAAAATGTCTTGATAGTAAGTACTTCATCAAGTTGTGTTGTATACCAGTTTAAAAAAATCATCCATTCGCTAGGTCTATATCGACGCCTTGCCGTCCGCATATATCTTGCTGAAATGGTTACTTGCAAAGCGTTTTTTTCCGAGTCAATCAAGTACAAGTGTCAGTGTGAGTGGCGATTACAAGGTCCTTGAGCTAGGGAATTGCCTAAATGCAAGAGAACTAAAAGGGTTTATTTGCTTTGAGGATTTCCGATTGACAGCCCACGGGGCAAACCAGAGTATAAGCACACGCAGGTGGGTAACCAGTTTTTTTTTGACATTCCGATGTTTGCATGAATTTGTTGATCAAGAAACCCATCTGGAAAGGTTTTTTTGATGAAAATGATCTTGAAAAACTTGAGTGCTTCTTACATAACAATATTTGGACTCTGTGGAAACTAAAGAAAAGAAGATGCACACCCTTTTGTCTTTTGATACCATACTTGACATACATATGTACTGCAACTCCAAAAAGATTGTGGCAGAGCACAAAAAACACGGGTATTTTATTATCAAATCAATAAGAAATCCACATAGATATTCATATTCACCATTGAAATTATTGTGACTCTGCCGGGACTTGAGTTCTTTTCAATTTTTGGTGTTTTGTTTCTAAGATTGTGCAAAAGTTACAAAATCTTGTTCATATGCTACACTTAATACACCTGTATGGACTTACCTAGGGCTGTGACCCGGTCCCGGCCCTGCCCGGCCGAAGGTGCCCGGCGATATTTTCAACGCTGGCGGTCCCGGCCTCGGGGCTCTGAAACCTAATCAGAATAGGGTGCAAAGCCCTGCGGGCGCCCCGGGCGCCCGGCCCGGCCGACTGCCCGATCCTGTTTTCGCCAAAAATAATATAAAAATTTCCCCTTTCCAAGGGTTTTTTACTTGTAAATCTGGGCCTGGCCCTGCCTGGACACCTAAGGCCTGAGATTCGGGCAGGCCCTGGTCGGCCCTGAGAAGTTTCCAGGGGACCTCGGGTCTACCCAGGGTCGGGCTTGGCCCCGGGGCCGGCCACGAACTATCAGGGCCGGGTCACAGCCCTAGACTTACCTGTATCTCTTCAGAGGTATTGGGGCAGAGAGTATAACAGCAAAATGGTCTGTGTGGTTACTATAAAGTGGTTGAGGTGTGCATAAGTATATACACGTCCCCACACCTAGAAATGGTCATCATTGGGTTTGGAACAAACCCTTGCCCCGTTGCTGCAGAACTCAAAAGATTAGGTAAATCACTTGGAGGGGACTGTACAAATCCCCAGGTTGGGTCCGTGTTGATACCAATCCTTCTGAATTTAACAATCTGATGTTGAATTCTATTAGGATATTTTGGTGCCTCTTTGAATATCTCTGCGATTATAAATGCTTGCTTGAGTTTGATGATCAGCAACACAGTATAATAATCAGGACCCATAGACAATCAAGTTTAAATAAATCACTGTGAACATCAAACAACTTCCCAAAGTGTAAGAGGGGAATGTACTTGAGAGTCAAGTTGGACATAAACTCATCATTACTGTACACCTGAGCCATAACACCCACACTACATATGTGCATACCACTGGACACATTGTGAACTATGATCTACAGACAGGTTTGTTCAGTGATCAGCTCATCAGAAAAAGTGAATCATATGTAATACCTCCTGTAACACTTTTTGGAATGAGAAAAACATGCCAAAAATTAAATACATATAACTTCATGGATACCCGGGCAATACTCACACCACGGGAATTATTAAGTTCAAACCCTGATTGAGCAGAATTGCAGTATCTGAGTCCGCAACTTGCCTCAATTGCGGATCTAGTTCCCATTACATTCACATTATGTTCACAAGTTTCCCCCAGGGTTCTTTGATAACACTTTGTCACAAGACATATACATACAAAGGCCCCTTTCAGACCATTGAATGTCTTTCATATCACATTCCCTGTCCTCTCTCTTTACGCTTGCCATAGACATTCTGCCAAGAATGTTTGACAAATCCAGATTTGATGACTGTGGCATCTTTATATCCAATGGAGTCAGGATTGAGAAGGGTGAGGCCTGACCCGTCCTTGACCCGTCAGCCCACATGATTACAGCTTGAGGGAAACTTATGAACCTAATGTGAACAAGTTGTGAATGAGATCTGCAATTGAGACAATTTGCGGACTCAGACACCACAATTCTGCTCAATTAGGTTTTGAACTCAATAATTCCCGTGGTGTCATGAAGCCATCTGACAGTAACAGAAAGGGTGTTACATCAAGTTCTGTTCATGAAATTACACCAAAATTTGAAATCAGGCATGTGGTCAACTTTTTAGATGTCTTTCTCAATCTGCAAAAGGTTACAGGATGTATCACATATGATTCACTTATGAGCAGATGAGCAGATAGCTGAGTATACCTGTATGTAGATGACATGTAAAAATTTGCCAAGTAATCTGCATATATGTAGCTATGGATTTGAGGCTCAGCTGTACCATACTGCTGATTTTATGTCTAACTTTACTCTCAAGCAATAAAAGGATAAATGAATCAAAAGAGAAAACAAAAACAATTGATCATGTATTTGGAGAGATGAACAAAAATTCACCATGTATATGAGGAGAAGAAACAAAAACAAGTCATAGAAGATAATTAAAAGTTAAAGGGTATTGCTCCACTATATAGCAGAGAAACCCTGGCCTTGGACCATTGCACAGCGGCCACTATACAAAACAAAGAGACATTTTCCAATGGGAAGGCTGATTACACTAAAATGTAGAAATAACACAGAAATAATGCCAAAATGATACATCTTTGGCTCATTGACTTTCCCACAGGAAAATGGCCTCTTGTTTCACATGCATGTGCTATGGGTTTTCTCTGCATCCATAGTGTGGTGTGTAAGCTCCACTATATATAGTGGGGATATTGTGGACCTAAAAACTTCTCTGCAAGTGTTCTGCAATGGCAAACAGAGCAGAGCAATTTCAGTATTGGGTGAGGTTGTGTGTATTGTGAGATTTGTAAGTTTTTGTTTAAAGTACAAATCAAGAATACAATGAGAGTTTTTTGGGGGTAGATATCTGTGAGTAAGTCACAGGGGGTGAAACACATATAGATCCATGGAATAATCCCACCAGGCACTAGGATCCTCATTGTCTTGATGTTTTCCCTTAGAAGGAAGCACTAACCCAATAAACTCTCTCCTTTTATTGCATAAAATACTCTCTGAATATGTTCTAGAAAAACCTTCCATTGGTAAGATTTCCCTGCCTGGCCCTTGTATCTTGGTACATTTTGGCCTTAACTACTCAAAATTGTCATTGTCTTTTGGAGGCAAATCTTTGGACAGACATTGTTCAAGGTAATTATCTGGGATGAAAACCTTGAAAAGCTTATGTCCACAGTTGTGATTCCAAGAATACCTGGGATTGAAAAATACAAGGTAAATATGTTGGTAGTGCAGTGATGTGATAGACCTGGATGAACCTAAGATCAAAAAACCTCCAACTTGCTGATGGATCAAAAAAAGCAAATACAACTGTGGAATAGTTGAAATGACTTCGATTATTGAACCCTCAAGCCTCCTCAAGCTCGAGAAAGGCACCCAGGACGAATTCTCCACACCATGTATATTGACACCTTCTTCTTCCTCTTTCCCAGATCAATTTGAGATTTATGATTAGTCACTATTGTCATTGTCATCCATTGAATGACATTCTATATTGTGATCTTCACTATCTTACCCCACTGTGATTGGAGGCTGGAGCTGGAGATGCAAGTATGTGTATAATCACATGCAAAAAGCTTGACAAGGGCTCATTGCCAGTTCATGATAGACTGACTCAGCCACATTAAGCTTGGCCAGAGGGGGAACATCCATACATATGAAGCTGACAGCCCCAGTGAAAGCCATGTTGCAAGCTGAGCCAATGTGTTTCAGCAGATCAAGACCTGTTTTGCATCCACTGATCATTAAATCAGGGGGAACATGTTCTGTCATCATGGGTTTTTAAGAGATTCTTGGATCAAGGCTTAGGTGATCAACCACTCTCACAGTGCTTGATTGCCGGTACTTTGAAAAGCTCTTGAAGGCCGGATCAGATTGCAGTACTTCTGCGGGTACTCCCCCGGGGCCAGCTATCTCTCGGTGGAACCCCGTGACACCCGTTCCTCAACAAAACTTGGGTTCTTGGAGTGAGCTAGCAACAACGATTTGAGAACGTGAATGGTTCTTTGAGCCCCGTCCATATTCATATATTTCTGAGGTCTTTCTTGAACAGTTAGACCTTTCTCAATAGCTTTCTTGACTCTCATTGCTCTGAGGTATGGTTTAGAGCCATACACTAGAAATCAGTACCTGCCTCATAGTCCTGCTAGTACAGATGCAGGTTGAGTGAAAGGCATCCTTTATAATATCTTACAGCTCGTAGAGGAGCCAATAGATTAGATGAACTGAAGCACAATAACTCAACTTTTCCGCAAATGTACTAAAATAAATACTGAGATTACAAAAGTAGGCTTGTATCGAACAAAACAAAGAGATACTGAGTTAATGAAACCTTGCAACCGCAACCGAATGCAACTTAATAAAAGATATTTGAAAGGAAGTTCAATAACCCAAGAAGGGTAAGCTAGGGTTTGGGTATTCAAACTACTCCACGTTTCGTTCTTGGTCCTTTCCTTCCGCCTCCACATCGACAACAGAAGGCGTTTCCGAGACATCCACTATAGATAGAATAGTATCCTATATCAGCTCAAGAAGTTATCGAAGAGAGAACAGAAAGTACGAACAAAATTCCAGTGAAGATCGAGGTGATAGCGGCTATGATAGATTGAAAAAAGCCCGCAATCACAGAGACTAAACCTGATAGTGCTCGACCAATTGCGCCTATTGAAGAACAGAATGGTTTTGAAGGTCAGCTGTAGATAAAACAAAACTTTTGAAGGTGAATTGGATCTTGTCTTAACCAACCAAAGACGTTTCCGATTGCTGAAAATACGACACCCATTGTTGTTAACTTGTTTTGGTTATTCAGAGGGGAATAATTTGAAATTATTTGTGTGATTTGGAGTGTGGATTATGTTTCAGAAAATGGAGTGTGCGGGGGGGTTTTCTGGAGTTTTGCGGTGGAGATGATTTGATGAGACTATATATGACGTCAGAGTATGTAAGCGGATTCGATTATGTAAGGTTTTGTTGAGAATTGATTTGACTCCTGCGATCAGATGAGGTCATTTCTGTTCAGGTGACAGGTCAAGTCAGGTCAGGTCAGTAAAAAAAGAATGTTCTGAGACGAGATCAACAGATTGTTCTGAAATGACTGTTTGGGTCGAATGCCGTATGGAGAGTGAATATTACAGAGAGCACGAGACCAAAAGATGAGCCAGTTGATTGATCATAGTCGAAGTGCTTCACGGCTTCTTCATGTCCTTTTCTCATCGCTCCGGATAAATGAACAGCTTTAATGCTCAAAGGCATTGTAAATTCACCTCACAACGTTTGCTGGTCACGATGTTCAAGCGCAACATTACGCGGGGAAGTCAGTCATTCATTGAGCAACCGATTTGATTTGACATCTCGTAAGACTCGTGGTCAAAAATTGCCTCACTTCTTGCATAGTTCAGAAGCCTTGACGAGGAATATCTTGTTCTCGCATCTCAAACCTGTTCGTCAATGACGTTCAAGTTTATTCGCATCGGTTTTTTTCAGGTCTCAGAAACCGGCAATCGCAACTCCCCATGCGATGCCATTGCAATGTACACAACGCATTGCAGGCTCAAATCAATAAAAGAAACAAGATTTCGTTATTTTGATATCATCAAGACACCACTGTTTATCTTGGTATTTAATCTGTAGATATGTTTGGGAACAACCCGTCAAGGGCCGTTGCAATGGAGTGCATCGGCCTTTACTAAGGCCTTCAGCAGGCATTGCAGCGGGTATCGGCATGACCCAATGCGTCACCTTTCGCAACATATCAGCCCAAGGTTGACCTAAGAATCGCAGAAACTGTTACTGTAGCGTCGCAGAAGCTCGCATACTCAAATAGATACAGTGTCTGATAGCCTTCCGACTCCGGCCACACTCAAAGTAATGAATTGGATTGAAAGTTTGCACACGCAATGGATATATATTTCCAGGGATCCTACTCCAATCTTTCAATCGCAGTGAGATTTTGTGCAAAATCCGTGCTACCGAAACCACGAAGCCAAGACTGCGACATAAGATTGTACAAATAAAGCTTTATAGTGAAATGTGAACCTCGCATACTTAGTCTCAAAAAAGTTTAAGGAAGAGAAGAAGTGTATGAGAATCTTATTAGGGTGGAGCACTTACTCGGACTCCTCTCCTTGACCCCTTGCTACGGAGTAATTCTGATATTCAGAATTCTAGTCAGTAGTTACTTAGGTGTCCCAAGAGTCTTCATTCAGTCGGGCTGATCTTCCAAGAAATCAAACAACATACATCAGTTTGACTTGGCTTCGGCACTCATTCTATTACATCTGCATACCTTCTTGTGATGTATTGGAAACATATTTCATTCTTGGTATGGTCCCCTCTAACACTCGAGCTGTATAGTGCCCTTGGAATGATGGGAAAAGTTGAACCTGGTGACAATTGGGATGTTGCAACGTTGGTATATCATGGTATGAGTTGTTCTTTCAGGAGAATATGGTGATTCGGTGGCCTATGACTCGAGGGTGTGTTGATATTTTCTATCCTATGGTACCGTTCCATTTCTAGGCAAGGATACGTGGCCCCCCAAAGACCAGGTCATCAAGAAAGCTACATCCAATTTGATTCAAGCGGGGCGTTTACCGTCGGCATCGAGCTCTCTAGGCCCATCAGGATTTGATATACCCCATGGATATACGTCACAACTCACTTACAAGAAGAAGCTTCCGGAACAAGAAGTATGGGACCTTCCACCTATGCACTTTGTAGATTACGTGGCAAGCTTTGATCCCGATGTGAATGCTTTAAGATGTCGCCATCAACAACATCTCGATACTTTTTTGCAGACCGGGTATCAAGTGTACAGTATGGCTGTTAAAAGTTTACACAATCGTTTAGGTTCTGCTTCACACCAAATCCTAGAAACAACCCTTGAGAAGATCAAGAAGGAAAAAACTTTCCATCACATGTCTGAGCCTGAGAGAGACTGGTATACCAAGATTTTTTTCATCCTAGGAGAGGCAGCGCATGAAGCATCTCCCATTTATGAACCTATGGTCAACTTATATAACTGTGTGGCATCTTTGCAAACTTCTTGGTACACCTTATATACACTTGCAGAAAAGAATTTACCGGAAAGTATGTGTTATGACGTGTTGAAGATTTGTTCTTGATTTAAAGTGTTTGAAACTGAAATTTATGTCTTGGTCATTCAAAATAGCATACAGTTTCTGGGATAGAGCTGCAAGCAAATTGAAAATTGAAGCAAATTTAGAACATATCCTTCAGTTCCCTCGTACTTTAAGGAATGGCCTTAATCAACTTGTAAAATTTAATCTATACAATTAGGATTAGCATGAATTATTACAGGGACTCTAGTTTGATTTGACGTCGGTAGTCCTAGATTTATCTTCAGATATTGGCAATTGTTGTCTTGCAAGGTTGAGGATAAGGATACTGTGGGCTTTGTAATGTAATAAGCTTCTAGGATTTTAATCTGATCTTTGAGTTTGTCTACATTTCAATGTTATATGTTTGAGTTTGTTTACAATTCATGATGAGGCTTTTTACAATCTTTACCATAATAGGGGGTTTCAAGTCAAAAAGTTTACGGTATTTTGCAATACAACAAGTTGTCCAAGACCGTAAAATTTCACGTAAATTACAAAAATTTGGGACACCTTTTTTGGTGTCCTGAATGCTGTTGACCGTATATTTTCAAAAAAACATCATAAAATTTAAAAAACTTGTCTGTTTTTTGAAAAGTTTCACAAAAGTTTTCTGACTTGAAACCCCCTAATATTAAGGGGTTTCAAGTTGTGTTTTTTACAGTATCTTTACAGTACAATAACTTGTGCAAGATTGTAAATTTACCGTAAATGTCAAAAATTTTGTTGACCATATATTTCCAGAAAAAAGAACATCATATAATTTTGAAAACTTGTCCGTTTTGTAAAAATTGCACACAAAAATATCCTAACTTGAAACCCCTAATGAAGTTTCCCGCTATAGCATACTTTTAGATAATCTTTACCAAGCAAAATCAAAGACCTCACCTTGACTGCTTCACCCTTGGAAACAGGTGTGCTTGATAGTGGATGCAAGTACAACCTTGCAGCCTCTTACCAGTCCTTTTCTCATTACTGGATGGATAACCGGGGAAAACATGTGCAAAAGCCTTGATTGTGGTTTACAGGTGATTATACAAACTCAGGAAAGTTGGTTTACAGTTGGGATGTGAAAACTTTCCCATGCCATAGTTGCTGTTGTGAATATTCAAACACAACACCCCCTATCATGATCTATGATCCATATGTCCTTCTTCTCTCTCCATTAGTCTCAGTGTTACACTTGTGGCAGTTTATGCATTTCATAGTTTTCTTTGTATTCCCTATGTTAGTAATTACTGTTTCTATCACCTGTACACAAAAAGAATTTACAGGTCTCTTTGTGTTATCTTACTCATGCTGAGTAAGAGATCATGTGTTTTGGGTGATCCTGTCAGGGTGGTTTTCTGCTACCATTACTGGGGACATGACGTCCGGAGCCTATGGAGAACCATCCTTTCAGGGCACAAGTCTTTGAAGGTGCTCTCTAGTCTCTCCCCACAACATTTCTTCCTTCTCACATCTTGTCACTTCTCTGGTATCCAAAAATCTCTCTCTTTTCATTAATCAATATTTCAATTGTAACTCAGTGCCTCCTCAATAGTGATTTTTGAAAGAGTGATCATTTGCTGCTAATTCTTCCTAGGATCCTAACAATTCTACTTCAATTCCAAGGGTCTATAAATACCTCAATTTTCTTCAGTCTCTAATTTGAATAAGATATCCTTTGCCTTTGACAATTCTTTAGTTGGCTGATCACCTCTCTGACCATTTAACTTCATACTCATCCACTTTGCGTCTTCCATACCTGTCCATACCTGTTTTTGTGTCTCTAATCTGGTCACTAGAGTATTTCATCAACTATGTATTTCTGTACAGTAGCTTATAAAGGCTACTCTGGGCAACATTGCTTCATGCTACCTCTCACCACCAGATGTGTGACTGGTCCCAAATGTTTAGACTTTGTTCAACAAAAATATACTATGGTTGGTGATAACAAGAAGCATGAAACCACAGACCAGGTATTTTGTAATCACAACAACAAAAAACCCAAATTGATCAGTCTTATAAAACTAAAAAAAACAAGACTTTTGAAATGTGTTCTGCTGAGGATAGTTTTGAATAGGTCTCAATGAGATGGTCTCAGAATAATTCAATTGGTTATGTAAATGATTTTTGCAACTTGTGAAACAATCTTTGAAAAAATATCAAATTAAGTGGTTCTTCCTGTCAGTTCACCAACCATACCAGATGGATGAATAGTACCATAAGCTTTGTACCCAAGGCCTTAGGCTGAGTACATAAGGTGCCAAGATATCAGGTGGTGGGTGCTGATTTGACAGAGAGCAGCACACCCAGGAGCAGAATCCATTGTCTGGGACACGCCCAAATAGCAGGGGGTATGTGGGTGCACCTTTGAAGCAAAAAAACATTACACCACAAAGACACTTTTGAGTGGAAGGACATTGGGACTGGCCAAGATTGTACGCTTCCGTTGGCACCCCTGTTTGGGCTGTTCCCTGGATGTCAGTGCATGCAGATGTCTGCAGCACACACTCAGGATGCCTGGCAGGGCCTACATTTAATTAGGAACACCCTTGGAAGCCTGTGGGATGTCCTGAATTTTGATTCTGACCTGAGCTCCTTGGATCAGTTTTGTCAGGAGTGTCCCTTCCCCTGCAAAAAGCCTGGTTGTCCCTAGGACATCTGTGTGCCCTTGTGGTGTAGAAACATGAAAAAACCTTCTCAGAAACAGCAATCAAGGATGTGATGAAGCTCAAACACAAATGGTGATGAGAGAAAAGCTGTTTCAAGTCAGGATGACCACACTTTCAAGATAAAAATCACAAATTTTTTTGTTCATGAACTATTTTAAGGGTCTTGCAACTCAGATGAGCAATTGATAGCAGAAATATCCCAAGTGAGGCTCATCTGTAGGGCTTTCTCTGGCTTGAAAGCTAAACAGACCAAAATTACAATTGTGGGATACAAAAGGGGTTCTCAAAGTTGGCCTGGTTTCAAGAAAACCCAGTTGACTTGGTTGCTTTTTGGCAGTAACCTTGTGTATTAGGGACTGGGCGAAGCTCTGCAAAATTGCAATTCAACCGTAGTTGAAAGCGAGTTGCAAACAGCTAAGCCACTGTTCAATCAGTATGAAATTTCCTTAATTTTTTTTGTAAGCTTTATGGCACTAAAAAAAATAGGGTGGCGCACAGGCATGACCCTCCCTAAGACGAGCTGTCTATTCAAAATTTCCCCCGCCACCTCAGCCAAAAGCCTATGGCAGAACGCTTCTGGATAGCCAGATATACCTTTCACAGGTTGCTCTCGCTCTAGATTTGGTGAAATCATCTGACAGTCGGGTCTCTTGGGCTTGCAGGAGTAATCCTGACACCTCCTGTTTGCATAAATCCCTTCGGTCGACTTCCAAGGGATTCATGCGCTTATTGAAAAACCCGGTTGACCCAGTTGACTTTTTGGCTGTGATCTGTCAAAAAATGTCAACTCGATACACAAGGTTACTGCCAAAAAGCAACTGGGTCAACTGGGTTTTCTTGAAACCGGGCCAACTTTGAGAACCCCTAAAGATTAGGCCCAAGAAGACCTTCTACGCTTCAGATTATCCAAGTCTTGTGTATGGGCGCGCCTTTTGACGGTCCAAGTGCACCGCGCCCACCACCTGAGTGAAGTGCCTAAGTAGTGGTTTTAGGTACCTAGCCCATGTCCGGTCCCAAGTGTTGACCATCAAGAGAGAAGAACCAAAAAGTGCTTCAGATGACCTTGAGAAGATATAGAAATATCAAGCTCACCTGCTTCAAGTTCTACCAATCTATGTAGATATTCCCTGGTTATTGGTATTGAAGTTGCTATTCTTAGCTCAAAAGCACAGTTGGCAGGAGGGAGTGTAGTACAGTTTAGCTACTGAATACGCGTAGCTCGCGTCCCAAATCGAACGCGAAGTCAAATGAGTACAGCAGGGAAGGAGAAGACTGTATTTTGATTTCTTTCCTCTTCTCAAGTTTCAAGTTTGGATGAGAAACTGTGACTGAGACTGAGACTGAGACTGACTTCAAGCCAACTTCCACGATTCATTTAACAAATACCATCACCACTACACCACACCACACTACAATATTCATAAACCATTGTAGACCCTTTTCAATCTTAATCGACGACGTCCTAGGGTCTCATTCAAAATTAAATAAAAAACTATTCATCACTCTGGTCTACTTCATCAAACATATTCATTCACATTCAAGTCAATTTAACCCATTCATCCAAAAACACACAATCAAGACGAAACACGAACCAATCATGATTCCTGCAGTATCACCACCACCATCACAAAATACCATTCCACCACCATCCGATACATCTGTTCTTCCATCTACCACCCCTTCTAATGTCAACTACGTATATCCTCCTCTACCACCAGTCGATAATACTATCAATGGTCAACGTAAGTATTCTGCATACATCCATCAGGCTAGGAAACAAAACACTAATATTCCATTGGTTTGCGCTCTAGGACGACCATTAACGGGATATGTACCTCCAGCAGCTACGCCAGTACCTACGGATACCAAGAGTCAACTAAAAACGATTTCAAGTCATATCGAAAGTATTATTGAATCGATTTCGAAACCATTGAAACCACATTTACCACGCTTTGGGAGATTCTTATTGGTTTCTACTTTTTTTGAAGACGCACTTAGGATCCTTAGTCAATGGGATGATCAATTAGAGTATCTTGTGGTAAGATTCCTTCTGGAAAGTTTTCTTCTTTGAAATTGCTCTTTATGCTTACCGTTACTTTCATTTTTCTTAGGAGGAACAAAAGTATTCTAGAACTTTCGGATTGAGTTTTTTGTCTTTCAATATTATTGTGAGTTTGATTATATATGGTTTTTTCGAAAACAAGAGATTTGTATGACTTACGAAACGGGTTTGGGTTAAAACAGGTCATGGTTGTTTGTTCGATTCTAGTGATCATCAAGAGATGGTCATGGGTTTCGTTTCCGGGATTGATTAGTGTTATGATAGGTCAAGGAATCGTTTATGATTTATTTACAGATCTAACTTTTCTTTGTTTAAACACTTCATTATTAGGTGGTTTATTACTAGGATTATCAGATACATTAGAAGTACCTAATCAAGTTAGATCTTTTGCTGGTTTACCAATCGATTCATCTGATCATGATGCTCAATCTACTCATCGTACTTATTTACAATTAATGGGTCGGATCCTTTTGATCGGTTTCTTTGTCGGACAAATGATTTTGACGGGTCTTAGACTTTCGAATGAGGTGACTCTTCTTACTATTGGAATTGCAGCTTTGGCTATCATGGCTTGTTTGTTGGTCGTCGTGGGCTTTAAGGCTAGAGGATCGGCTCTTTTCTTGGTCTTGGTTTCGGCTACTATTAATGTGATGAGTAATAATTGGTGGTCGAAACCTAAAGATCATCCTGAAAGAGACTTTCGAAAGTGAGTGATTCGAGGATCCTTTCTTGTTGATCTGCGATTTTGATGGTTCATTGGGCTTGGGTTTCTTTCATTAGGTATGATTTCTTTCAAGTGCTTTCGATTGTGGGCGGTTTGATCTTGTTGATCAATCAAGGTCCAGGTGGGATCTCAGTGGATGAGAAAAGGAGTAAGTCACTTTTGATATTTCATTTCCCTAAAAAAAGGTTTCGTTACTAATCGAATTTCTTTGCCTCATCTTTCCAAAAGAATTACTCTGAGAGCCTCATTTCTTTTTCACCTTCATCTTCATCTTTTCCAAAAAATGTCAAATTCCTTGTTAATATTGTTCTCTTATATACCAATCCAAAACCTTGAATCATCAACACCACTTTTCAAAAAGTTTCATGGATCTCTTCAAACATCTTTCTCTTCTCTTGTTTTCTTTTTCTTTTTCTTGCATCAAAGTCTTCTTCTTCATCTTTCATCTCATTTTTTCTTGACTCTTTTATAATCGGATCGTCTTGGAGACATGCTGTGAAATACACAAAGGTATATAACATGAGTAGATCATTTGCTTTAACATTCGTTAGATTTACTATATGTATGATCGTTACCACAATTTGGCGTGCCTAGGGTATGCCCAGTGCTGGGGCTCAACTTATGGCAAGGTTTGATGGAAGCCCAACCTGCCGAATGATGCTTGTCTAAGTTTTGTTTTCCCTTGGCACTTTTAACAGCCTGAGAAATCCTTACCAATCAAGTGGGTTGTGAACGTCTCTCACGTGGAGAGGGAGGTGCGATAATTTTGAGCTCCCCTTGACTTTGTCCGAATGTCGACACAGCCTTATCTCATGAGTAATTTTGCTCGTTTCATACTTGTGATCAAGATTATTTCCTAAGTGTTTAACAATATCAAGACAGCTTTCTCAAAGAAAACAAGGAAAAAAATTCAGTTATAAGATCGCAAGAAACATGCATAAAGTTTAAAATCAAATTAATTGTTTAAGAAAAATGCAAAAAGAGAAAGAACGAAAGATGAGAGAAAAAGAAAACAACCAAATTGATAAGTGTTGGACGATTCCAAACTAAAGATCAAAAACGATTTTCCTTCTTGGCGTAAGAATCAGATGATTAATTATCTTTTTTATCAGTTGGATTAGGTGTAACATTAGTATTTGTATTAGTAGTGACTGAATTAGTAGCTAAGTTATAAAATGTATCTTTGGATTCTTTTTGATCTTCACGTTTGTTATGAAGTTGAAATGATCTTCTAAACCTACAAATAAATGAATCAGTCAAAAAAATCAGACGATTTGAGTATGTTTCAGGATTGGTTTGATTCGTTTTGAAGTTTCACTCAACTTTGTGGATTCTGGTTTGATTTGATTGAAGTCATTTTGTAGTGGTGAACTAGTGATCACTATTTTTAAAAAAATATCGGCAATTAGTCTTTAGAGGTTTGAAAGATGAATCAAGAAAATACAATGTTCATAGATGCCTCAACTTACTTGCAAAGAATGACAAAACCAAGACAAAAGAAAATTGGAGACTAGAAATTGAGAATCGCATGACTTTTGAAAATTGGTGGGTGTAGATAAGTGGATTGTAGGTAAGATGGTTTTTTGAAAGAAAGTCGTTGGTTATAAGGTTCAAAATGAAGATTTGTAGGGGTTGTGAGTAAGGGAAAGAAAGTGATGAAGAGCTCGACTTTAAATACGTTTCTAGAAATCGATCATATCTTTTTTTCAACTCGAAAAAGACAGCCATCTTGATCTATACTCCTAGGTCAGATCCAAATCAAATATGGTCGAAAGTTTTTTCAAGACCGTAAGGTGTTCAACATCTTCAGATGATATTAAAATATCAGCATTGTGATAATAAGATTGGTAGAATTAAACCAATGTTTTATTAATTCATATCAATTCCATTCAAGCTGATTTGAAAATGTTTCAAAGTTGTCTACCTTTTGCCACCTTTAAAATTATAGCTTGAGTGTTTTTGAACCATTGCTGTAGGTGCTGTCAGTGTTTCCCGCCGGTTCAGGAGTCAACAAAGACCAATGGTACTATACTCTGGTCGTTTTCCTCTCATGGGGAGGTTTCGGGAAATAGATATCGACGACCTCCTCAAGAACTTCTCCGATCCTTCTGATGAACTGATAAAACATCACGCTGTTTTCGATATATCTTTCACATTTCTTTGGCTCCGTATTCCTTGACATAACCATTAATACAGACCGTGATATTTGCCACAATATCAACCTTTCTTCATAATCATGCTTGTCCAGGTTCACCACAAGATCAATATTTCTTGACATGTGGTTCTGATACTACATACTGTGAACCGTCTTTCTTGTACTTTTTTTTACAGGATACTCAGGTTGATTTTATTAATCTTCTCCCTTTTTAAGATAGGTTCCTTCGGAGCGAGTGACGCGACCGTAGCCCGTTGCACTAATGCCCGAACTTATAAATGAGGTTCCATTAAATATTTCGGATGGGTAGAATTATAATTCAGACGAACTAGCTTCACACCTGTGCAGAGCCCAGATCACCTACATATATTTGAAATTTCTGAATCTGGTTTTTGTATTGCTAACTCTCCTCAAGTATATATACTATACGAGGGCTAACTAGAAAGTAAAAACCCCTTGAATGTTTTTTCACAAACGCAGAGGATCAGATCTGCGGTCGCTTTATGAATCCATGATGTTACTCTACATTAACTGAATTTCTTTCTTATATGATTATTGAAATATCTTAATAAAAAAATTACAAATCAGATTGATCACAAACTAGACAATAATTGGAAACCTTTGGGTATGAATTAGTCAAAGAAGCTATACCTGACGATAGCAAGATCAGAGATAAATTACTCATCCTCTAAAAGATGTGAAACTTTGACTGACGTATAGAAATGAGTCGATATATTTCATCAGTATTTAATCCCCTTGAATACACGATTTGATTTCGAGCGCAGTGTTGTGTGCAAGTTATGAGCCGTCCGTCGTGTGAAACAGCGCTTGCTTTGTTTCTCCAGATCGATCTTCAATAACCTCAAGATAACTCGAAATTTTTGTGGGCGACGACTCAGTATATACGAAAAAGCTTGTCGGCCGAGCCTGAAGAGGCCGATCAGGTGTTTATGAGCTGTTTTATAATGTATATATTGTCTTCAACTACAGTGCGTACCATGTGATCTCGAAAGCTTTGATTGAACAGATTCCACCTGCGTCAATTACATATTTTTGTTCTGATTGTCTCTGTACACTGGTACAGAGGAAGTTGATTATCTTTTCAATGACGTCTAGTAAGACCCGTTCTTGATCAATACTTGAGCTCATCAAGGGAAAAATTTACGGTAGAACGTAGCGTACCATGGAAAAATTTATAGGACCTGACGACGTTAGCCTTCCAATCATTTAGATAGGCCACATATTTTGTAGCCACAAGAAGAAGGGCTTGATAGATGTTTAATCGAACGGTCTCTGCCGAGTTTAATTCTGTATCAAGATAAATCATACTCATCCGTACTCGCACAGCCCTGTATCATTGTGTCAGTCACAGGATTCGATTTAAATGGGATAGACAGCAACGAACTGAAGCATTCTTTGTCTAAATGATAGACCCGGTGATTTTGACATATCCACAGTCAATGTGTCCCCGATATCTACAGTATTCAAAGTCATAGTGTGTTCAGTGGGTGAGAGTATTGGTAGAGATGTCCGTGTAACTTACGAGTTCCGTGGTAGCGTCCATAGTCTATTGTGAAGTTCAACGTCTTCGTATTGATGAGATGTCCACACCAAGGAAATTCTACATCAATGGGTCTATTCTATCAGTACCCAGCTCGAAATATAGAATGAAGCGCGGGAGGCGAAAATAAAAGATATTCCACTGACCCGGGCTTTCAAGTACTTTCGTGTCGCTGTACTTGAAATTGGTCAAAGTTTTTTGAGTGGATATATAGCAACCATATTCTGGCATCCCCTTTTTCATGACCTCAAGAAATCGCTCCGCATCACTCTTGGAAGTTGTGATGAATAAGAAATCGTCCATCAAACGAAGCAGTAACTACATAAATCCACAGGCCTATCAATAACGGTTTGCTACAACAGGAGCCAACCGAACAATGAACATACTGAATGCTCTCGATTTGTAAAGCCGAGATGGTTTTTGTCCATATCTGCGTAGAACAAACTAAACAGCGTCCATCAGCGGGATCTTCGGTTGAAAGGGCTATCTGGAAGTCCGATAAATCGACTACTTACCTGCATAACAATGGGGAGAGGATAGATCCCTGAGGAATTCCAACTTTTTGCTGATACGTATGGCTGCCAATCTATGTGAAAACAACAATACTCAGGTGACAACTTGCGCTGAACAGTTCTTGAACAGTTCTTGAACTCAAGAAAGCGAATCAACAAGAATGAATCCTTACTTTCACAAAGTTCTCAGTAACGTGCTCTCTTAACAAGCTCAGAAGATAGCTTTTATGTATGTAGGGGTATCTAACTTGGTCATTAAAAATCACGTTGCGTAGAGTCTGTGAGATCTGATGAACAAAATCGTCAAAATCCGGATGTTCGTCTGCAAACATATGGAAAAACCATTAGTGGGACAACTCGAAGAAGTATCATGAAAAACAAAAACGAGTTTTCGAAGCATGACAAACCACTTGGATAAGCTTGTCTTTTAAACTGCTTATTCACTTTGCCTTCAAGCGATGTACCCGTCAATTTTGTATACCTCTGGATCACATACTGGTCCTTCAGTTTCAAAGGATGTTTAGCAGCCATGTCTCTTATGAAGATATTGAGAACTTGAATTTACAAGACTTACTTCTGTTAACAAACCATTTATGATCTGGAGTAGTTTCTCTTGTTGAATCGTATCAAAGCACGCTTTAACGTCTACCTTCACAAAATACAACTTTTCATTGGCTGCGGGTTTGAGACGACTTTTGAACTCTTTGAATCTCTGGTAAATATCATTCAACCCTAAAACAGAGGATCCCATCAAGTCCGGCTTGATGTCCTGGAATAATATGGGGTTTGTCAGTTGGGACAGAAAGCGCTATCTGGAAAACAAACTGATCACCACTACTCGCACTTTTTCGTATGTCAAAGTTGCAAATAAGTCTTGCAGGACTGAATTATTTGACAATCCACCTCGAGTGGGTATCTTCCGTCGAAAGTTTACAATCGGCCGAACCCCACTCTCTTTGGGCAGTAGTCTCATAGACGACTTCCCGAGCTGCAAGTGACCTTTAAAATATGACTGAATTGATTGAATCTATCAGCGTGCGGTACGTTTGAGTCTACCACCTACAGTGTGAACCTCACCTCGTCCTGTGGCTCAATGCGTATGAATGCGTCAGTTCGTAGATTTCGAATCAAGGGCGTGCACAACTCTTCCCAATCGTCCAGCCTAAAATATATCGTCCTGTTCTTGAAGATTGCCGATTCGGTCACAAAGAAAGTGTTCTTTTCTCAAACGGATCAATTGTCGTCTCAAGTCAGTAAAGCCATGCGGTCTTAAAAAACACTATCTTACGCTCGAAAGATGAAGGAAGTACCTTGATGAGACTGCAGATGAATGATTCATAGAACCACCAGACAAAATCGTGAAACATAGCGCGGGATGTGATATCAGTGATCGATCCAATCAAACAATGACAGTCTTTCATAGTCATATCTTGAACAAGCTGATGCAAAGATATCTTTTCAAATTTGCGCAGCTTGATGATGTGGGTGATATCTGATAAGTATCATAGTCTCAGTTAGTTGCGCATATACTTGAAAGAATGACGCCGATAGTGTTGACGTACTTTCGCGCACGACATCCTCGTTTTTCGAAGAATCACCCCACCAGTTACCCAAACCAAGTGAATGGATCATACCCCATATATAGCTTTCAACTTCATAGTATGAGCAAACAAATTGATTAAATTTTGGCTTCGTATCAGCACAGGAGGTCTTGCTCTTCGATTCAGTGACTTGATCAGTGCATGTTTGAAAGGGTGAAGAGAGTCGTGTGTGGCTAGCTTGACTAGGCTCTATCAGTTCAACAACGCTTAACTTCTCTTCTTCAGTCAAGCCCTGATTTTGATACTAACACGATTCATGTAAGATCAGACTAGTGAAGCAAATATTGATCAATGATCTTGCGTACTTTTTTTGGGCAGGACTTTTGTAGGATTTCGTTGGTCCTATCTGAAGCTGCACTCTTGACGATCCGAAATATCAGGCCAGAAGGACCGATAAGCGGTTTGAGCCTCTTAGGTGTCTTCATTGTTGATAGTTTTTCAATGTCTTGCTCGATGTTAGAAAAAGGCAGAAGCTTAAAGCTGGATGGAAAGATACGCTTTGCTAGGTATATAGCCTTGAAATGATTTTCGAGCAAAGAAGGTGATGAACTGTGTATAATTTTGAGAGGGTCTGACGGTAGGTATTATCAGTCAGTCTCTTTCTTTGAGAACCTGCGGTGACAGCCAGGGACTTATATACCAACGTTCGATGGGAATCCCCATTTTAATCCGGCCAGTCTTGATTCGGTTGGCTCGTGAGTACATCAGTGAGCTTTTCAATATGACTACATTCGTAAGCTGCGGCGCAGAGCTTTCAACTCTCGGTGCAGCGATGACGTCGAGGTCCACGAGAGGCTTGCCGCATACTTGAAAATAACATCCATTATCTTGTGGTACGAAGATTGATGTAGTCGTAAGCAGCTCAATCATGGCTTTGGCACCTATTCTGATTTGCGGAAGACAAGCTTTGAAAGTCAAATATCATAGTTAAAGCTAATCACTACTAATTATCTCAACATACCGTTCGAGTAGCGCTGAAAATACGAAAGATTTGACCACAAAATTGGCCAATGTGTTTTCGATCGACATGTGTTTCGCTACCAGATTGTTGGCGTAAGGACCCAACACTGGAATGGCAAAGGACGGCAAGTCTCGATGGTTCTGAACCGGATAATTACATCAAATCATGTAAGAACTAGCCACGAGATAAACTTGCGGTGGATATATCGCACCATACGACATCCCAATGTCAGCACATTCTGTTTTGAACCCGTGTCTTTCGAAGAGGGACGCGAGGAAATCCACAAGAGACGTGTCTGAGCCGCGTCAACAACCTGCAGGGAGACACGGCACACCACTTCGAAATCAGTTTCAGTCGAGGAAGTCCGGGTACGATGCAAATTCATCGTCAGGAGATTATGGCGGACCTGCGCCATGGTTATCTGCGGCTCAGCATCATCAGCGCCTGTTTGGAGTGCGCACGCCTGAGGCCGTGCGGGCTGCTGATGGAGTTCGAGTGAAGAGGTAATTTGCAGTCCCACAAGATAACTCTTCAAGGGAATCAGGTTCTCATCCTCTTCATCTCTGAGTTTGAGCAATTGCCACAATGAGATTGTCGAGGGAAAATACTTTAAAAGTAAGGATTTGATCTGATGAGGACCTTCGTCGTTCTTAGTTCGCTTTCGTTTCATGATTTGATCGAAGCTCTGAATCGACGGATGTTCGCGTTGATGGTTCGATACAATTCACATTGAAGCCAAGTGAGTGGAACACGGTATCACTAAGCTGTCACCGGGTCAGCTCAAGGCCTGATCCGACACCTGATCCACCCCGGATAAAGGCGGTAACCTCGGGGTCTGGCCCTGTGATCGACTGAATGCAGTTGCGGAGCCAAATGCTGAGGAGAGGACTTGAAATCGTATCGTTGTTGAGGTGATGTTCTTAAACTTCAAATCATCATGTCAAACTCAATACCATTCGTGCCACTTAGCACTGCCGATTTCTACATCAACTCATTACCAGGTCAAGAATCAGATATAACTCAATACTCTGGTCATATATCTTCTCAACCAATCACCACCACTTCAGAAATCACTTCAACCACTTCGACTAGTTCATCAACAAGTCAATCTCATCTCTGGTTTTGGTTCATAAGACCTAATCATATTCCAAATCGACAAAAGTAAGCTGCTGTGGTGAAAAATCATATCTTTTCTATAGTCTTACTGACTTAATTTGTTTATTATTATTCTAAACAGGCTTGTGATTTGGTTCAATGGAGGTCCAGGATGCAGTTCTCTAGAAGGTGGCCTGATGGAGATCGGTCCGTTACGAGTATCTAAAAAATCTTCTAAGCTTACGAATTCACAGTGGTCTTGGTCTCAGTATGCGAATTTATTGTTCAGTGAAGTGGTTTTTTTAGTAGCTTTGTTTTCGTGAGGGACGAAGGACTGAGATTTGTTATGGATAGTTGATCAACCGGCTGGAACTGGATATTCTTTTGCTGGAGGTGGGGAAACAATCCGTGAATTGGATCAGGTAGGTAAGCTTGAGTTTTTCTGTTTAGTTTCTCGAATGTGAAAACCGACAACTTATAACAGATGACGTAATGGTTTTCTTTCTCTTTTGCATAGGCTGCTAATCAGGTCGTTAGCTTTCTCGAACGATTCTTCAAACTTTTCCCCGAATTATCTAATCTTGATGTAAGCTACTTTCGTTTTTTGGTTTGGAGGTCAGATTACGTGTGTCTTTGCTCAAATCATTGGGTTTTTTGTGGTCTTTGAGTTAGACCTATCTAGCAGGTGAATCATACGCGGGACAGTTCATACCTTACATTGCACAAGCTATCAAATCTACGACTTCTGTATCTTCAAACCTCAAAGGTTTGCTCATGGGCAACGCATGGATCAATCCGCAGGCTCAATACCCTACATATATTGGTAGGTTTCTCTTCTTTACCTTCCCCTATCTTTTGTTTGAATCTTCTTTGATGATTTAACCTTCTTTAGAATTTGCTTATGAAAGAGGGATGATCGTGAAAGGTTCAAAGGAAGCCAAACCAGCAGAAGCGGCTTGGCAGAGATGTCAGTCAGTCTTGGAGTCCCACGATCAAGTCCTCATAAGTGAATGTGAAGATATGCTGCAGCCAATTCTAGATGGGGCTTCTAAGAAGTGCGTTCCTTATTCTTACTCCTTATGGGATATGCTTGAAAGGAACAAAAGTGTTGCCTGAGCTGATTTTTGGTGGACTTCGTGACTTAGGATCAATGGCGTAGAGATGAAGCCAGTGGCCTACAATATCACTGAGTCGAGAGCAGTCGGTGATGAAGATTGGCCGGATGTAGTCAAGCCTGTGACAAAATATTTGAACGTGTGTTCTTTTTGATTTCTTTCCATCTTACCCAATATCTGAAATTGAGTTCGATTCTGAACGCATTGGCGTGATATCGATTTTAGAGGCCAGAAACGATTGAAGCTTTTCATGCCAAGCACAAGCCAGGTCATTGGAAACAATGTAACGATACAATAAGTGAACCTTGTTTTACTCCCCCTTTTCATTGATATACACATCCTCAATGATGATCTTGCTTTTTCTTCAAGCACGAGACATGTGGTCACCCAACTCGAAACCATCATATAAACTCTTACCCAACTTATTGAAAGAGATGAAGGTACTCCTCTACGCAGGTGATCAAGACTTTATGTGTAATACGATGGGTATCGATCGATCTATTCAGGCTTTGACTTGGGACGGTCAAACGGGTTGGAGTCAAGAATCAGAAACCAAGGATTACTTCGTCAATGGTCGTAAGATTGGTACCTGGAGAGAGGAGCGAGGCTTAAGTCTTGTGGTCTTTGATAAAGCTGTGAGAATATTTTTATCATTTGTTTCTCCAACTTTTGTCAAGGGGAAGAGCAACTCGCAATTGATAATTCAGATCGACTTTATAGTCTCATTTAGTACCTATGGATGAACCGATTGGTACGCAAGATATGCTGCTAAGATTCTTGGAGATCGATAAATTGGATCTAGTCGGACCTGCTCGATCAACCTGGTCACAGATGGGAGATGGCCCAACCATGGAAATCGTCTCGAAGACCTTTGAAAACGGAACTTTGATTACGAACGCTACGGGTGTTGTCGAAAGCGAAGGAAAGAGTGAGAAAGGAATAGAAAATATTGCAGAGCTGGAGCGGGTTCGTGAAGCTTATTATGGACCAAGGAGAACATTGACTCTGGTGTTTTTCCTGTTTGGCATCATCATCGGGGTGGTTGGTGTAGTAAAGTGGAGGGCTAGGAAACGGATCAAGAGTCATATAACTGGAGAAGACAATTCGGGAGGAATCAGGTTGAAAGATTTTGAGCTCGGGGACTCTGTTGACGATGATCATGATGACGATGATCCTGAAGGAGGTGCGCCTGTGAAGGATTTGGAGCTCGCTGAAGAAGGTTGTCAGCTGCTTCAAAGAGGTGGTTTAGCTTCAAATCAGGTAAGAAAGAGTATAGATGATGAAAGAGTGAGGCGGGAGCACGAAGTCTTCGGAATTGGGGAAGATGATTGATCTTGGACACTGTTAGATTGTTTCTTTACGTAGACTAATAGTGTTATCATACATTTTTGGTATTTTTCAATTTGGTTAAACTTTTGTGTACTCAACAGGAAGATTTTTTTACGGTAAAGTTGCTACCTTGAATGTATTTATTTGCATTTTGTTTATTTGTGCTCTTCAACAAAGCCAAAGGCCCTATCGAAGAGATTGATTGAAATATCGTCAATTTCTGTGACTACGAGTGTTTGTCATTGGAGATTCGTCTTTGTGAGTTTCTTTCAAGTCTCAAATTGATCAATTTCATATGCAAATGTATTCAGAGTGAAAGCATGGAATGCGGTGGCCATTTCTGATTAACAGATTGGCTTTGCAATATCAGTCCTGAGGTGTAATCTGATTAGATTCCATTAGGGGGACATGTGCTCCTCATCCTCACCTGTGGCTTTGACCTTTTGCAAGGTTAAAAGGGTTGCATGTTTGACAGGTCGAGGATTCAGGAGAAGTCTATACAATGAAAAAGGAAAGAATGTATCAAATAACAACTTCTTGAAAGGGTATTCTATGACACCAAGTGGACTGGCCATGCGGAATTGTCTAGAATGAATCAAGACTTTTTGGTTTCTGACAGAACCCAGCACAAAATCAAGAGCCGGAAGATAAGGTCTTGGAAACTTGAAAGGGAGAGTTTGGAAAGCAGCTTTTGAATTTTTTTACTCAAATTCTACAACATAGTTTGTAGAATCAGTAATTGAATTGGTGTTATCAATAAAAAGCTTTTTATCATATATTTTAAAAAATTGCTTCAAATTCTCAAATTGGGTTGTAACACCCTCCAGATGGATGCCCTTGGACACGTATACAGATCCTATGAACTGCTTCCTTGGTTTGATAATGGTTGAATACTTTTTGTGATGAATGAGTCCTAAGAAGTTCTGTAGGTTCAACAAAGGGATTCCATAGTGTGCTCCCACCAATACTTGACCAAATGTGATCCCTTTGTTGTGGAGTTGAACATTTTTGACCATCTCTTTCTCATGAAACCAATCAGATAATCCTTTCAAAGGTAACTTCTCTGCATCACAAACCAGCAGAGCAAACCGTCTTTTAAAGATTTTGGAGAGTTCAGGCTCATTCAACATGAAATCCCTTTCACGGCCATCATACCAGGTATTGCGCATTTGAGAGAGCTTTTCCAATTCATCTTCAATCAAATACCTTCCATGCATTGCAAATACTATGTTCTTAACTCTTTCTCTGATCTGATCATCATTCATTTTGCTCCACTCTGCTTCTTCCATACCAAATCCTAAGCAATGACTTATTTCCATGACAACTGAGAGCTTCCCGCCTTGCTTCATGAATAGCTTCATCTTCTCTTGTGTGATGATGATTGCACGTTTGTCAATATGAGACATTATCATCATCTGCTCAAAACGGCTGTCCAGATCAAATTCACTAGATGCTGTTGCAAAACCAATATCCTCAAGTGTTTCAAGAACTTGAGAGATCCCTTGAGCCTTCTTAAAGGTAGATTTATCAATGTCTGCAAATGTTGGAAATTCTTCTTCAACTTTCAGGAGATCCAAGAGCTCCTTTGACAGGGGTGACACTTCAGTCTTCATAGCAGACAATCTGGAAACTAGTGCCTTCTCTGTGAACTGTACTATAAAGGCTGTCATCCGCTTTGAGATATAGTCCACCTCTTCATATACCTCACTCAATTCACGGAAAATTTCAAAGAATTGAGTTGGAATATCTGCATGGGTTACAGAAGTGGTAGAGTGTTTGTTGTATTCTTCATCAATTTTCTTATACATTTCATCATCCAATTCAACCTCAAATTTCTTGGATTTGATTTTGATTTGGAGGACTTCTTGAACCAATTTCCCTAGAGATGATTGAAGAATTGACGATGTTTGAACTGGTAGACTGTTTTCAACATTTGAGTTGCATACATCCTTGAATTTCTTTGATATCCTCTTGTTCTTAGACTGCTTCTTGGACTGCTTCTTAGATTTCTTCTTTAGTTTGTCTTGGTGAATAAATGTAGTCTTAGAAGCTTCTTCTTCATCTGATACTGTACTACTACTGTGGTCTTCATTTTGTGAAGGGGCTTTTAAAATGTCGTTTCTGGAAGATGGAGATTCCGACTCTGTTGAAGGTTTGTGTGGGAGGGAATTGAAAAGTTCTGGAATACATCCAGTCCCTTCAGAGACTTTTTCCAGTTTACTTTCTTGACTTTCTAGAATGATTGAACCCTGAATACTGCCTGGAATAAGTTTCCCTGAATATTCTTGATCTTCAGAAATGACCCCATTATTTTCAAGAGATGTTTTACATGGGTAATGCATATGAAGCATGGGGTCATGTGTGATGGGTTCAACATTTTTATTTGGCAGAACATGTGGGTAAAAAACCTTACAACTGCTATGATTGATTTCACCTGCAGACAAATCCTTGGGAAAGTCAACATTTGCAGAAGCTGCACCATCTACAGTGCTGTGGATGTCTCCCAATTTGGAGGCCTGCCATTCTATCTCCATGTTCTGTGGATTTGTAAAATGCAAACTGTCAGTTTTCCCTTGTGCAAAGGATTTCCCTCTCTTTTTATTTCCCAAAGATATTGACCATTCATCAGGTTTAGAAATTTCCACCAATTCTAAAAACAAAGAAAGTAAAGCAAGATGTTTCATTGAGTGAATAAATTGGATTCTGTACATTTATGATTTGTGAGATCTTACTTTTGGGAGTATTGTTGTCAGAATATGTCATAGAATTGGGTTCTTTCATCATAGAATTTGGTGAAACACTTGATACTTGTGCTTCTTGATCAAAAATAAAACTTGGTGGCGTCTTTATCTCATCTTCAAAACTGGATGATTGATTTTTTTGATGAGACATTGACTGCACAGATTTCTGTGTGTTGGCTTTTTGGCGCCTAGATGATCTGTGGAGGATTTTTGAATGTCCAGAGCCTGGAAGATCTTCAAGTCCAGCTCTATTGCTCAAATATAGACTTTTTAGAGCATGAATTTATTGGCCCCAAAGGATCTTCAGTACAATATTATAACATACCTTATTGATTTCTTTTCAGCAACATTTTTCCAGGAGACATTGGTATGAGATGGGCTTGATTTTTTTGATAATATTTCTGGATTTCCTTTCTTTTCTGAAGAAGTAGACAATGGCAATGGTGTTTCAAGACTAGTAGTCTTCTTCTGTATAGACACCCTTTGAAAAGAGCAATGGAATATTAGGATAATATCAGTGTGGAGAAATAACTTATCTCATAGATTCATTCACATGCCGTAACAAGGCCAAAAAACAATACTTACTTTGATAACTTTGGGAAGTTTTGTAAGAAATTGGGTTCAAAGTCCTTTTGGTTAGGTACTCTGGTTGTGATGTTGGGCAATACAGGGTAGAATGGACAAATATGATTTGTACAAGCATTTAGGGATTGAGGTTAGAAATATCTTATTGTGGTGGACTCAGATAAAATTGTGAAAAATATATGGCAAACCCTAATTTCTTTTCTATTTCAGGTGACCAATCAAACCTGCCCTTTTCAGTTTCTACCCTCTTGTTCTGATTTCTTGGCAATAACTCTTCCTTTTGTTTGCTTTCTATGACAGGTATCTTTCCATTGTACAGGTCCCTGTTCACATCAATGCATCAGACTTCTCTATATAGTGAGTGTGGTGAGGTGCACACATAGTCTTTTACTGACTTGTTTGGGCTACTAGATTTTCCTAATCTCCCCCTTATGTTCATTGGTTCAAAGGTGCCAAAGCTATCAGTCCTGAGAGGCGCATTTGACCTGGAGTTGGAATAAGGGTTGCATTATTTTTTGTGTGTCATTCATCATAAGTTTCCCAAACCTCACATAGATTTAGAGGTGAAATACTGACCTCATGAATGAGACATTTTGTTCATCATCAGGTAAAAACGTGCCTGGAATGGATGGAGCTTCTGGAGTTATTCCAGGGTTTAAAAGGCTTGATTGAGATGTTGGCACACTGTTATAATTGTAAAAGTTGTGGACTTCATGGTCCTGTTGAGTAGGGAGGTGTGGATGGGAGTCTTTGGTGTCTGCTGTACCAAAACTCTGTGGCTGTACAACAGTTGAGGTCATGGGATTGAACACCATTCCCATAGATGACCATTTTGCAGCATCTTCAGGATTGAAAAAACATGGAACCAAGTATGGTATAAAAAAATTAGGAAGAGGAAGATGCCTCAATGTAGAATCAGGAGCTGCAGGATGGATGATACTGTGTTGAATATTATTTTGACTTGGTGTTTTGAGCCTTTGTCCTTTGTGATAGTTTTCAAAATAATTTTTAGACTGAATACCATCATCTACAACATATTGATAAGGGCCACCAGACTGGATTCTTGATTGCTTCTTTCTTCCCACTTGTGATGTAGTTCCTGTTCCACGGTTTGTGGATTCCAAGGTTGACATACTCTTTGCAACACTGCTGGGGAATGCCTTTGAGTTTTTGACTAGAGTTCTGTATTGGTTTCTGGAAACTGACTGAGAGCTTTTGAAATCAGCTGCTGATGCATTCAAGATATGACTACAATTGTCAGTGCTTCCACTGTCAGAGTTTTTCTCAGCCACTGAGTGGAGCTTGTTTATGATGTTACCTGAGCATTCTGAAAGGAGTAAAAATAAGTACAGAAGCAATTGCCAGGTAGTCTTCAAAAAATGGATAAGGTCCATTTGAACCATGAAATTTGGAGAGGGAATGTTTAAATTATCATAAAGTTGATGGAAACCTGGACAGAATTAACAACAAGGATAAGACCGCTGCATTAGAGGCCCTCATATTATATCTATGGTATCCAGATACATTCTTGGGGGATTTGTTTTGAACACCTTGCCCATGTAACTCAAAATTTTGGTGTTTAACAGGATTGATTGCCTCAAGCACTGCATCATGACATGTAACACCAAAGCTAGAATATGATGATCCATTTGTCATAAAGCATGTGAGACTTTCAACCCCTCCCATGTGATGTATTGCTAGTTTTTCTGATTGATAGTTTGATAGTGCAACATGTGTGAATGAAATATCCATGGGCAATCAATTCATTCCTTGTTGATAAGATCTTATCAATAAACACAAAAGTGCATTTGAGATTTCATCAATACAATTGATCATTGTCTCAAGTGGGTTCATCTTTATTGTAAAAATATCACTATTTCAGGGTAGTGTTAACTCATGGACAAGCACACAGAATGTGTCTTTTTGCCTCAAAGGGAGTTGATGCACTTATTGACAATCAAACACCATGTAGATGTGGGTTCTTTTTTCTATAATTGCAAATCAATATCTCATGGGTTTGAAATTGTGATTTGGTTTATTGGCATCTATCCAGGGACCCTGAAGTGTAAGAGACTTTTTTACCACTGGCACTACATAAGTGATGATTGAGCACAAATTTTGGGAGTTTTGATGCAAAAATATACATCCAAGTTGGAAGATGTTTGAGTGAAGCAATATGCAATATTCACAGGGTTAGCTCCAACTGTTGAAGTAGTTCTGGCTCAATCAAAAGTGAGCATGCAAGCCTATCATGAGGGGGAGCATGATGTGGTCATGAACTGCTAAGCTGTAGAATTATCTTGGTGGTCAAATTAGTGGCTTTTCCACTGTTCTATGTAACACTGAATTACTTTGTCATCCACGCTACATACAATGAATCAAGTTATCATTTATGCTACTTTATCACTATCTCTGGTTAGGATTTGCTTTTCACAAATATTACACACTCCTTCTTTCTTCCTTAAAAGTATTTGAACTTCTTGATAAGAATACACTGCAAAGAAATAGGGTGTAATGAATCCCGTTGTTGGGTAAGGAGAAGGAAGTACAGTTGAAGCACTGATACCATATTTATTTAATTAATCTGAGGATCCTGGGGAGTTCAATCTGTTTTTTTATTTTCTATCTTATCCAAAGGATATGGGTGTGAAATATAGAGAAATTTCATGCTCAGCAGACAAATAACAATGTCATTTGGTATGTTCATCTGAACAAAGACATCAGAGTATCATCACACTTGAATTCAAAGAAAAACATGAACTGGATGAGCAAAACTGTTCCAAATCAAGTGCTGTAGTAACTCCAGGATCAGCTTCAGATAATAACTACAAGGATAAGATGGAAATCATGAAGAATAAAGAATAGGAGTACAAATTCAGATAAATATTGTAGAACATACATGAAATGGGCCCAATGGCAGCACTCAAATCTTTCAATATTTCCAACCACATCACAAGTTGTCAATACTGTTCACTGCTCAAAATGGCAACAGAAGATTGCCAAAAGTACTTATACAAACTCAACATTACTGTTCGTTGGTGTGGCAAAACGTTCCCACTTAATATATAGGAATTTATCTTGTCAGGACTTCTGATAACATTCTTCCACTTATTTAGAAAAAATCTAATCCTCTGCTCTGACTTTCTGTTTATGAAGCACAGCAATCTTTGAAAGTGCCTTTTATCCAGTGCACAGCCTGTTACTCTTGTAAGAGCAAAGTGTAATTCAACAAGGGGTATAATCCACGAGGATTTCCACTTTGAGTTGTATATAAAAGGAGTTGGTCTGGAGTGAACACTGAAGAAAATTCCATAAGAAAGCATTTCCTGATTTTGCAAATCATTTGTTTCATTTACATGGTGTTTGATGTTCACAAGATCAAAGGGCATACATATAAGAGAATATCTTGGATTCCATCTCAAGCATAGCACATTGCAAAGATTTATTTTTTAAAAAAGATGTATGGAGTTCTCAATTTGATTCCTGGAGGTAATTTCAGAATTTATTAGTAAGTAAGAGTCGTTTTCCAAAAAATTCAAAAAACTTCTTGAATCGTGCAAATTGGTAATCCATATTAGCTGGTAGGTTCAATGGCCAATATAATGGTTTTTTGTCTTTGATACCTGGTCTATATTTGAGCTCCACCTTATCATATATCAACACCAACCCATGCCATAGGTAAATCAGTGGAATTCCACAGTGCACTCCCACCATCACTTTGCCCCATTGGAGCTGACTTTGAGATATTGTACCCACCTCTGAAGCTTCCTTCTGTGTCATCCAATTGCTCAACTTTGTTGGTGGTAGCTTCTCAGAATACTCAACAAGAATTCCAAACCTTTCCTCAAAAATATGTGATAACTGTGGTTGTTTGAAAAAAAAATCCCTTGTGTATGTCCCAAACCACTGTTGTGATACAGACCAGAGAAGTTCTGGAACGTCCTGTGATATAGACGTCCCTAGCATTGCATATATGATGTTTAGAGCTCTTTCTTTGGTCTTGTATTCTTCCATTTTCTTCCATATCTTTTCTTCCATTCCAAATCCCAAATTGTGCTGGATCTCTAGAACACTTTGTAAAGATCCTCCTTGCTTGAGAAAATCTTTCATCTCATGTGACTTGAAGAGGATTGAACTATGATCAATGCGTGACATGATACTCATTTGGTGAATACAAGTATTCAGCTCTTCTTTACTACATACATATAAAAGTTTCAAACTATCTACTTCACTTAGCTCAGATTTCAGTTTCTGGAAATTTGAATATTTTGCAGAATCAAAGTCCTGGAAGAGCGGGAATTCTTCTTCAACCTTCAATATCTCCAATACTTTTAGAAGAGTCTTAGATAAGAAGTCTTTCATCTCTTTAAAATAAATTTGGTTTGTGTTTTGTGAGAACTGTGCTAGCAATGCAGAAACTCTCCTTTGAGCTTCACATTCATCTCCAAATTGGAGTGTGAATTCATGAAAAGTCTTTACCCAAGCCAGTCTCTTCTCTTGAACATGTTCACCTGTCATTTTGTAATGAAGACAATCATCTGCAAGTATCAATGTGCTCTGTTTGTCCAGATTGATTGGCAAAAGCCTCTTCTTTTTTGGAAACTGAAGAGTTTCTAAAATTGCTTTTCCAACATGTGTCTTCATTATTTGTGAAATTGATTGTGGTAGTGGTTTTTCAGATACCTTTGATACCTTTGACTTGTTTAGGTTTCTATCTTTCTTCTGTTTCTTTCTACTCTCCTTGTTTTTTGCATTTTCTTTATTCACAGAAGAGCCCCCACCTTTATGCAAAGAGTACACACTACCATATTCTTCCACAGTACCACTCTCCACAAAGTTCTGGTCATTCTCTGTCTTTCTGTTTGGAGATACAATATTGACATTAGGTGTAACTGGTGTTAGGATATCATCATCACTAATATTTGTGAAGTCTGTCTCTTCTCTGGTTTGACTTGATTCCTTGAACCCTGGACTTTGAGGTTCACTGCCAACCATATCTAGACTCTTGTCTTCTTCAGGTCTGCTTTCTAGCTGGTGATTCTTTTGGGATATGGGTCTTGAATTGAGTGTAGTAATCAAATTCAAGTTTTGATCTGGTTTGCTGTTGTTGAGATCTACAATTGGATCAGATGTTGTCAGATCTTTATCCATTGTGTTTCCAGATTTGGATTCTTCTGACAGTTTATCTGCCAAAGTGTTTTCCCTGATATTAATTGGAATTCTGTAGTCGTCTGGATGATTGTGATGAGGTAATAGTGCATCAACAGGCCTATTGGAACCAGGTTGGCTGCCTTCCAGTGCTTTCATTACATTTGTTCCCTTATATTGAGTAGTCAACCATGACCCCTTGTTTTTCATATTGTACCATGGTTTTTTCCCACACAGTCTTCTTCCATGGCATTTAATCCACCCCTCATGGTCAGAGTTTTCTGGAATGGGATTCTCTGAATGCATCACACCTTTGGATTTCAGTGTTGATTGCTGTGAAATTGAGGATGTATCCACAGTTTTGCACTTCCTGTCTTCAGTTTCTGCAATATCTGGGTATGTTTTATCTATGCAGTTGTCTTTATCAATTTGAGGCTTACAAGGAACTTCTGACATGATGTCTCTATCCTCATGCTTTGGTTGTATTTCTTGTTCCTGACCGCTGGCAATATTTTGGGAGGCAGGAAACTTTGATTGGGACTTTGCAGATTTCCTTTCAGCTGAATCTTGATTGTTTTTTTCATATGTGGTAGATTTGGAGTCCTTTGGCATTTTGGAATGTGTTACTGAAAGTCTTTTGAAAGTAATTGCCCACAATCTCAGAAGAAATGCAAAATATTTTGAGACAAAACAGGAAAGATGTGTTACCTTAATGAAACCTCTGCAGGCACAGACCATGCTTTGTTGGTTTTGCTTTCATCTTTTTTTTCAATGACTATTCCATTTTCATCCTCTGCCTTGTCAATACCCATTTCTTCAGTGTTGTGTGAATGCGGCACTTGTTTCTGATTGGATCTGCAAGAAAAACAGGCAAGTTGAATTTTTGGACAACAAGTGTTGATTAGCTGACATCTTTGTTTAAAAGGATGCATCTCATGAGAGGATAGGATATACTTTATAGAATCTTGAGGACCCAGTTGTTTATTCTTGATGACTTTCCTAATCTGGCTACTAGCTCTTAGATTTTCAATAAATTCATCATTTTCTCTGGATCATACATGAAGCATCAAAAACCACTCTGAATGCTTATGTTTGCCACCACATAGAGACAATCATTCAACAAACCTTGCCTTTGGTGCCATGTGGAGTATTTGTGCAAGTGGCTCCTCACATTGTTGCATCACTTCCCCCTTCTGCAACATCTTTGTATCCTGTGGAAGTTGGATCTTCAACTTGAGTAAAATATCTTTGTCCACCTCACTTTGTGTTCTGTATTTTAGTACTTGAACTGTTGAGCAACAAAAGAGAAATGACATACAGTTTTGAGACTCTGGAGGCACTTTCTGTGGGCTTTTGCTGTTGATGTGCAATATGAGTGGAATGTTGCATTGAATTTGTGAAGCAATTGAATGGCTCATGGTTTGGTAACAGAGGGGTGTTCATTCTTTGTTTTCCCGGTCTTTGAGAATAAACATTGTCAGTGAGGGACTCAGCATCTTCTGACCCAAAGGAAGCTTCAGTTACCCTGTACTAAGAGGAGGCCCAGTAAACACATCTTTTTCTCTATGTGTTGTTTTTTGAGCCTGAGTGTTTGAATGTGTTTTCTCAAATTGGTTGAGGTTACCTCGAGTGTAAGCTCTCTGCCCATCTTGAGGGACCAAGTCTGGTGTACCAGACCCAAATAATGTATGCGGAGATTTTGCTGAGGTGAGTACTGAATCAGGATGATACAGCTCTGCTCCTGAAGCAGCCCATTGTGCAGCATCTTCAGGTTTGAGAAAACATGGGACAATGCCAGGTAATACAAAGTCTGGTGTTGGAAGACACACCACTGGAACTTGATTAGTGAGTAAGTCTTGAGGTGTCAGCCCTGGATACATATGTATGTACCCAAAGACTAACTTGTAACATAGATAACCACCTTTAGACAACTAATTACATGTACATAAACCCTGCAAAACATATGTAACTTGTAATAAACCATATATACAACCTAATTACATATACATATACATTTAAAATCATATGTAATATGTAACAAAACACTCATAACACCTCATAACTCAGTGTCAAGAGTTAAAAATGCTTATACTACATAAATTACATAACAGGTATATGTAATTATGTAGTATTAATAATAATCATAAATAACAGTAATAATTAAACCCTAAACCACTGCAGTGATATAAACAAATATCACTACAGTTAGGTCTGGAGAGGAGAGTATATAAACTCCTCCTCTCTCAGCCTTCAGAGAGGGATCCCCAAGCTTTTATTACACATCACTTTTAAAGAACATCTTTAAAGTAATATAGAAGTTCATAATCAAGGGTCTTATAAATTAAGACTAGTGATTTACTTCTCTACTTTAAACAGTTCCTGACTAAAAGTAAGTAATACACCCTTCAACTATTTTCTGGATCCTCTACTTTCCCCAAGTAGATTATTTACTAGGTTAGTGACCTTCAACAACTCACAGGGTAGTGGCCTATATATAAGTACTTAGGTTGGTGACCATAAGAACAACCCAAGGTTGGTGACCATAAGAACAACCAGTGTAGTGATCTAGACCTCACTCTTCATACTGTCAATAGAGGTTTGAAGGAAAACCTTGGATCCAGTTTTCAGTTATAATTAATTATAATTATATTTAAAATCTCCTTTTCAGGAGTCATTTAACTGTAGTCTGTCTGGATTTATCCAAACAGACCAGTCTTCTCTCCCCCCTTTCTTTTCTTTCTTAGATTTCCAATTGTAATTACTTTATAATTGAAATCTAAAAGATAATTATTAAAATTGCAAACCTTCCTTAGCCATCTAGTGAGCCTTGAGTCCTCAACTGAGTACCCAACCCTCACAATTGGGGGCCTCATCGTGTTGAAACCCAAAAACCTCAACCTTAAATAACCTTTTGTTAACCAAAAGTGTGAGATTTCATAATAAACTAGACAAAATAAGAAATAGTAGATATCACAAAACAAAATACATAATAACAAAGTGACTAGTAAGATAAGTCACTACCAACTTTTTACTCATTTCAGTTCATATCAAACATAACACCCATTAAAATCAATCATAAAACTGGATTATAATAATTACAAATATTCTTCCAAGTTATTGATTGTTCCAAAAAAAAATTCATATCAATTTTCACCATTTTTTTTAATAAACACACTCACAAGTACAGTGTTCTATAATCTCAAAAGTAGCAAATCTCTCCTTTTCTTTACACATTACACTGAACAATCGAGCAGGTTCTACTACAGAACCGACGAGTCGGGTAGTTACATATACAAGAGCTCAAATTTCGAAAATCCCAGATAAAGGACTTACGTAGATCCTAAAATAAAAGGAACTACTCCTTTCAACGCATCATATCGACGACAAAGAAAAGGAATATTGATTTCAGGATATCGAGTTGGACGAACGTTCAGAAAAACCAATCAGCAAGAAGACTCACCAAGGGGAATCAATCAAAACTGAGAAGTTTTTGGAATTTCCGGGATCGGAGCTCACCAGTCCTTCGATTCAGTAATTAAAATAAAAATCAGTTAGTATTTTTTTTGGAAACCTGACTTCTCTCAAGCCACCATATCGAAAACAATTACTTCGAAGAAAGAACACTGACCATTACTCTAATCACTCGCCACCAGATCAGGATCGATTCCATCCATTTTACATCCGCAAACGTATCCTAACAACAACCTTTCCCAAACAGCGACGAAGCAATAATAAAAGTGAGTCAGCAAGAGATTAATACCAAATAAAAAAAAACAAGAGAAACCTAACGTACGTCATCCGTAACAGTGATTATCGAACAAATCGACATAGGAATTGAATCGGATCAAAGATTTCACTCATATAAGAAGACTACGAATCCCGATTCAAATCGATCCTCAAGCAAAGTGAAAGAGCACAAATCAACTTGCTATCTACATCCTACTTATTCAATCAAATTCAACAGCCTTTATAACTTCATAACAGTTATCTATAAAATCAAAAGTAAATTCAAATCGATTCATATTTTTTTTCCTTTAATTTTTCTTCTTCTCGCTTCATTTTAATAGAATCAACATTAGCTTTGTTTATCTTGTTATAACCCCAAACTAACTAGTCTTGAGTTGAAAGAAGTAAAACTAACTTCCATTTTTTTTTTCTCTCCACCTTACTTCCTCTTCCTCTGACTATTATAAATCTCATCTTTTTCACTTGTATCGTTACAGTGTCTTTCCCCCATTTGTTTAACTCATTAGACCTTGCGAACCAAGGAACCCCTCAACAACAAGGCACGGAAGCGAACCGTACACACCAATCTACGCCAGCTCTACCCGAATCGAACCTAGACGGATCAGTTCTAGAGTTCGAGGACGCTTACGGAAATACGAGCCACTAACCGATTGTGATTGAATCCACAACCACTACACCGGCTGCTGACCCGTTATCAAACATCGAGATTGACTCACCCGGATCTGACGATACCGCGAGAGAATACGAGAGATCCCAAGGACCTCCACCAGAAATCGTACCACCTGAGTATCACAATAACAACAATCATCATTCGGTCATTCAAAATCCAGGACAGCCAGTAAATCAGCCTTATCGTAAGTCATCGATAAACTAATAATTCAAAAGAAAAATTTCTTCTTCTGTTTCTAAAAAAGAAAATTCCTTTTCGTTTTCTCTCCTGATCACCGAAATGGGAACGGTGGAGGATCCAACCTGGCGGGAGAGGGAGACTCCACGGGAGACTTCACGGGAGACTCCAGCAAAAAGTACAGTTTGATACTGTATTTATGTTCAAAAATACAGTGTCATACTGGGCCACCCAGTGCCACAAGTCTTTGCTGAGCGCCACCTATCTTTCACAGCTACACACGATGTTTTTGTTTCATCACCTTTTTTGCTTCATTCTCAACACCAACAATCTCAATCAAGAGGACCAATTTGCACACAAATTCCTCTCAAAACAAAATCAATTTCGAAAATGTGGTCTTTATCAGGGTTTCAAATACTTCAGAAGCCTCTCCCCCCTCCAAAACCGGGGGTCATGTGTGGTTTTGTTTGTCCTGATGTGGGATGCAAGCGTGAATGCAAGTACTTTAAAAAAACTGGATATGATCAACTCATTGGCATCAGAGTGAGTATCTTTTTTTCATCTTTCCTTCCTTCAATTCAACACAGCGCTGACTTATTTTACATATCCAGTGTTCGTCTGGAGCTCGAGGTGCATATATTGTCAGCCCTTTCTTGGAGCACGTTGAAAACGAAATCAAGAAGTACAACTTGAGCTGGAGATCAGATTCACACTGGAACCTTCCCTCAACCCTCTCCAACCTCCTCTTACCTCCACCTACTCCAACACTATCAGACACCCAAGTCCCAATTGTCCAAGGAACATGTCTCGGATTTGATGGTCGTACAGCTGAAGGACATCAAAAAAGTCGAAAGATCAGCCCGAAGTGCAGGAATGCTCTATGTGCCGCAGTAAGTAAGGTTTTTCTTACTCACCGTTATGTTGACTGGCCTGACATGGTGATTCAATGTCATCTGTTCATTCTAGTGCTGTCGCAAGCTTGCTATAACATGCTCGTATCATCAACCACCAAACCAAACACTAGCTAACTCAACTCCAATTGTAGCATCTCAAGATTTAACTGGCCGAGCTATTGCAAGCCTCCCACCCCGACGAGTTCGCCCCGTGTTACAGTGCGCACAAGCAAATAGACGCATTGGCAAGTACCTGAGTCAAGAGGAAGGTGATCTGATCAATTCTAGTCAGTTGAAGCTTCAACAGGATCAAGATCAAGAACGTTTGGGTCCATCAACCGAGATTACTCTTCGAGTATGGCTCAAGGCGAGTCTAGTTCCATCTAGTTTCACCTCCTTTTCGCAAAATGGCCAAGGTTTTCGCTGAATGAATCCGAGGTTCTACACGAAGCTGCTGAGGAATCACTTGGACCACGGTGGGGATTGAAGCTATGGGTCTGCCAATCACCTTCAGATTGGGTAAGTTCACGTTCAAAGTGTATGTACATGTCGATTTAGAATGGAACACTTCCTGATCTGATCACATCAGTGTATGACTGATTCGAGCATGAGTTTCAACTACAAACCTACACCAACCGAACTCTTAATTCGAGGAGTCAATGTCAGCTTGGTCGATTGCAACCTCCGGGAAACACCTCCGATCTCAATCCACTTATCTCCACCTCGCTCCAGTCTCGATACAAGCGATCTATTTGCCAGACAGGTCCCATTGGATGGATGGGGTTCGGATATTGAGTTAATCGATCCACCAATCGCATCTACATCCTCTACATCTTCCCATGCGACCAACAGACGAAAAATCGATGTTATTGAATCGAGCGATCCACCAATCACTTCTACATCTTCCCATGGACCTAAAAAACGAAAAATCGAAATGGATCCGACTTCCGATTCTGAATCATCAGTTATAATCGTTAAAAGAGGTAAAAAAAGCAAAACTAACAAGACTGAATGGCCAGGTACAACACTCAAGCTGTCAGAGCTTTTGATATGGTGTTCAAAAGCACCCAAATCATCTCCACGAGGTGTAGGTGTTCAAGCCTGGGTGGAGTGTTTTGGTGATCGGTTTGAGCAAAAGATGAAGACAGCCTATGGTTATCGCGAGTGGGTTGAACTGGTTACAATCAAAACATTGAAAAGGTGGGATTTTAATGGGGATCGGACCGTCAAAGAAGGAACAAAGGCCTTCCATGTTGAGTTTCAGATGGCAAAGCGCTTGGCAAAATCGATCTAAAGGTATGTCCTTTATTTATTGTAAAATAAACAATACCACTTGTACTTTGTGTTGTTGACCACTTACAACCTCTAAATCATGTAGATTGGTGGACATGGTTAATGTTGATACAATCAACTTGTCTCAATTTAATCTCAGGAAATATATGAAATATCATCTTCAAGTCTAAAATTATATGCAACTTCATCTTAACTTCTCTATGCATCAGATTCTCAAATGATATGCAACTTCATCTTAAATTCTTTAGGCATTAGATTTTCAAGTTATGATCATATTAAATTCTCAAATTATATGCAACATCATTTTAGATTCTTGTTTTTTAGTCATTCTTTCAATAAGTTAAATCATCCTCACAATTGCAGTTTAATTGTGGTGGTGGTTATTGGTGGTTATTCAATGACTTGTTCAGCAATGACAATACCTGTCCAACAAAAAAATGATAATGATATATGACAATGATTTGATCATTGGATTGTCTGAATTGTCTTAATTTTGCCACTTAATTGAGAACCACTTCATCATCAACAGCCTATTGAGAGTTAAAAAATGTGTTATAATGATAATTTCTCATAAAGTTTTTCCTATATAATTAAAATATCCACCCCTTTGTAACAAAGTTTGCATCCTTCCTTGCCTTAAGTTTTTCCTCCAAAGACATATTCATCAACCTAACCATTTCCTCTAAGAAAAAATTGTAGCGTATAGCATGCATTGACCTACACATAGATGAGAACTTTCCATACCAGATGTTTTTAAGCTCAGCAACAGAAGAGTTGAAAGCCCATTTGCCATCCTTTTTGAGTTCAGGGAAGTTATTGGGGTTAGTGAACTGCTGACAGAATTGATCGTCTTCTTTGTGTGAACAGAAGTGAAAAGCATCCACTGGAATAACTGTGTTTTTGAAGGTTTCATAGTCCTCATCACTGCTCCAGATGTGGTGAACTAGCTGACACGCATTATCATAAAAAATTACGTCGGGTAAACCATGAGGAAAGGTGTCCAAAATGAATTGCTGAAACAAAAGAATAAGGTTAAAACATATTTGGATTCAATCAATTTGTAATATAATATTCACATACCTTGACTGCAGAGACTGATTCAGCATTAAACATAGTAGTACGTGCCAGGATGATCCCACATGGACTCACAATCAATTGATCATTGTGAGTTCGACGCCGTGACAAACAAAGACGGGGTGATTTCTTGCTCTGAGTTTCAGTCTCTCCTCCATCACGTCCCATTTCATGAGACCTATCTTCTTCATCCTGTTCATGAATTATATCTAGATCTTCAAGCTCAGCGGTCCACACATTTTGATGAACAGAAGGATCGGCAGGAAGTTTAGCCCCAGGTCGAGTCAATTTTGAAGCAAGCAAGAAATTTGCGTCCTTCCTATGTTCAAATTGCTTGAAAGCTTCTGAACAAATACCTTTACCACAAGTATATGATCTAGGCAAACGAGTAGAGGTGCAAGGTTGTGCAATACATTGATCTTTTAGGAGAGGTGTGTGTAATTTGCAAAATCGGTCATGGACGTGATCAAGAATGTTGAGGCAAGGACCTTCAGGATCTGGTAAATTATTCTTTTGAGCTATAAATTGGAGTTGTGCAGCTGATGCACTGCAGCGTGAATGACTAATTGTGATACCATTGGTTACAACTGCTCTAATTCCTAATGATGATCAAATCCAAATGATCCCAAAGTTAGAATACAATGATTGTTGAAAAATGTAGGAGAATGTACTGACTTTTATTGTCAAAGATCAACAAACATTTGTCACAAACATGATCTCTATAATCAGAACCAACTGCAGCAATCCAGTCCAAATGCTGTGACATTGCACCTAAGTATCGATCAGCATCATTGCCGCCATTTGGAACTTTGACTCTTGCTTGTCGATTATCAAAACGTGATAAAAGTATGCTCAGGGCAAGACCATCACTGCAAACTGAAGCAGACATTGATGCTCCAAAATCCTGATTTGCCTTGAATGGCAGCAATTCCTTGTCTACAACATATGTATGATTGTAAGAGGTGACTAGGTTGAAGATAGAAACACTATATAAGGGTCAAGATATGTTCTTTGTCAGTGGTACATTCAAGGATAAGTATAGATGCATTGAACCTACTGAGCAAGCATTTGGTTGTAAAGAAGATTCTCAGCTAGAGATCTTTCCATAAAGTAGTGTTTATGTACTTGAAATAGATTAAAGAAGATTCTCAGCTAGAGATCTTTCCATAAAGTAGTGTTTATGTACTTGAAAAATACATTAATATCACGCCCCTCCAAAGGTGTGTAAAAGTATCGGACACCTTTTCGTGAATAATATGATGGTCTAAAATATGTCAAGCATCCTGGGAAAAGAGTATCAGAAGATGCTATCCATGATATATGTGACATATTTGTTCATTTAAAATTATCAACACACCTGTACAGTAGAAAGAGATGGATTTGATTGGGAGGACTCCTTTCAAAGTGTACATGTATCCATTGAGTGTGAGGTCTTTCTTGAATGCAAGAGGTTTGCGCTTGTGAGGATCACAATGGTAACAATGTTGTGTTGGTGGAAAGAGAAAACAGAAAGGTATCTGAGTTTTCATCAAAGGCAGAAGTCCTAATTTCTTGATACAGTCCTTTGGAACAATGAAGCAACGTGGTAGAACTGGGAACATAATCCTCCATAACCGTACAAGTGCTTCATGTGGAATATTGACACGCATTGCAGATGAAATATACTGCACTGGAAGCTCTGTACTTGTTAAAGTAAGGCCTCTTTCTCCTCTTTTCAGGACATCACTAGCAAGCAGACAGAATCGAATAAAATCTTCTACATGCAATTTTGCATATATGACTGCATATTCCGGTGCCTGTAACACTTCTACAAGCTCACGCAAGAGCATCCTTCTGATTAATCAATGAATAAGAATGGCGATGATCAGAGAGAAGTAATTCTCTATGTAGAGGTTTTTTAAAAAAAGGGAGAGTAGCTGTAAGTTATTGGAGTGAAAATTGTGAGTGTCTACTCCACCTCGGTCCGCTGATCGGGTAGTGAAACACTATGTACTGGCATCCGTTTGCTCCTCCGCTTATTCGGACCAGAGCTGTGAGCGGGCTTTTTCAAAGGACCGGCTTACAACTCATGATTGAGATCGATCATTGCCGGTCCGAGAAGGAGTAGGTTGGTCCTAGGACTGTACGTACAGTCCTGTATGACAGTCGGAAGAACGCCTCAACAGCGCCTTCGTTGGAAGAAACAAAGGCGTTCTGAAGTCTCCTACGGAGTCTCTCGCCAGGTTGGATGCTCCAACTTACCGACCGAAATAGAACAAGGAAATCACAACCATCCATCTGGACCACCTCACGATCAGCGAGCACAGAATCACCAACAAGCTCCCCAAGAACAACAACAAGATCGAGGAACTCATAGTAATCGTAAGTAAACATATTTAACCAGTACAAGAAAAATCATAAAACATTAATAAAGTGATTTTCTGTCTTATCATTTCTCCTATAACAACTCCTCTATCGTTTCTTTCATTTTTTAAAATTTTTCTTCTTCTTATCTCTTTCTTCCATACATTCGATCATAATTCGCGTAAATCATAAACCCTATGTCTACTAGAAGCTCAAGGCAACCAAGCCACGCCGGCTCAACCAGCTCACGAGGGTCAGCAAAACCCAAACAACCCACAGAACCAAGCTCAAGATCAACGAGGAGGTCAACAGTGGAGTTATTCGAACCACTACCAACCTCAGGTAAGCCGGATCCCACTTTAGTAGCCAATTTCGCTAAAGAAAGAGATATTAATAAAAAAATCCTATCTCTAACTTCGTCAGACCCAATAGCAACAAGCCGGTTACAACTATCAACCAAACTACCCGCCCAACCTAGCAGCTCCTGTGGCCCAGTACCCTCCGGCTCCGTACCATCACCATCATCCCCAAGTGCATTACCCAGCACAAGCCTCCCCGGTCTATCAACACCAACCTACCCCGGGTGTCAGCAACCCGAACTTACCTCCACCTCCTCCTCAGCAACCATCTTACCAGGAAACGCACCAAGCCGAGGAAGCCCGACTACGTCAGGCAATTGTGGACCTAAAGCAGAACTTGGACGAGGCGCGCATAGCGAACAACAACGTAAGTTTTTGCCAAATCTTGGGTGCAGCGAAGGAGGCGCACCGAGAACTCGAGGAGTTCATGGGTGGCCGACGCCATCAAACGAGAGTCGAGGAGGTGGCAGGGTACAATCCCTACCACGTGAACCCTTGCACGATGGAGTACTTCGAGCATCCACGAGCGGGACCGTCCAGCCAGCGTCGCAAGCAAGCTCACGACGACGACATCGAGGAGATGGCGGAGAACGCCTCGAATCTTCTCGACATTATTCTAGTAGTCAAGAAGATGAAGAAGGACGATCGAGACCCGGATTCGAAAGGGAAGGGGAAGGAGAGAGAACAGTAAGTATACTCCCTCCCCCCACTTCATCCTTTCACAATCACCCATCAGTTCTTAGTACTGATACACTCTTTACTGGTGAACCTTTAGATAAGGACCATTCCATCCTACCCTCTTCCTATGCTACATCTTTAAAATCGGAAGAAGAGGAGCTAGACCAGTTAGACTCTCAAGGACTGTTCAACCAGTCGCATTTAGTCTCAGATTTAAAATCAAAAATTTCTTCTTCTATTTCCCTTTCAACTTCTCAATCAGACTTAGATGACCTTATCAGACGAAAAACGTATGCAATCTATCAACGAGTTGAAAATTTACAACCAGATTTAAGTTTATTAAAAAAACAATGTGAGCAAAGTGAGAGAGAGAGAGTAAATGAATTTCAACTAAATTGCCAACTTCAGAAATCATCTTATGATGATATCATGAGTAAGTTCTCAGAATTAAAAGAACACATAGAAGAAGTTAGAAATACCTTTTATAACCTTGATGAGAAAGAAAATAATAAAACAAGGCATGATAATATCTTAAGTGAATTAAAAA